AATTATTAATAAATTCAATAAAAACGTCTAAATACCTATATATATATATATATATATATATATATATATATATATATATATATATATATATATATATATAGTTACACACTCTATATATATATAATGTTATACACTCCAATTATAATTCTTTTCTAATTATAGCACTTTTCAACAATATAAAAACCATACTAAAACCAAATTTTAATAAATATGTTACAATCCATCTAAGAGGATACTTACACTATGTAAAAATACTAATTTAACAATTCAATATAATTTATTTTTTGGAATATTCATAATTAAGCCAGTTTCTTTCATTTGTCCACTATGTAAAATTAATTATTAATTACTGATAATTCAAATTTTTTAGAAACTAATGTGTACGTCAACTTATATTATACATATATAGTGCCATCAAAGAAAATTCGATTTGTAACTCAAACCTTTTAATACAGTATAAGATAAAGCACAAAATATTTGAATAAATGTAATACTTTGATCACTTTATTCTAATTTTTCGATTATATGTTATATAATATCCAACCTCATATTTAACGCACCTTACCTTTAATTTTACATTTGTGAATCTAATATCCTAATAAACTATTTTTAATAAGTATTGCATGTTATTTTAAATAAATTATATTTACCACATATTTGTATTTGACCACTTAAATTTCTAGTATACTGAGTTAATATACCGACCTAAGAAGATGAGCCAATTAAGGAGAGAGAGAGAGAGAGTGAGAAGATTGGGCTTGGAATTTGGATACTTTGAATAAGAAATCAAGCGAGCAAGTAAGAAAGCAATATTCGCCTTTATTTCCTCTGTTTCTATATTAAAATAAATTGTCAAATTATATTGCATCAATTAAAGAAACCCAAATTTTATTAGAAAAACCATTAATTTAAAGAAAATTTTTATTTTAATATTAATCAAAATATTTGAATTTTCTTTTACTCATTTATGAATAAACATTTAATAAAGTATGTAAATAAATTACTAAAAAAATATTTTTATCTCATATAAATATAAATAGAGATTCTAAATAATAAATTGTAATATCAAATTTACCTCTAAAACAATTATTATTATTTTGTAACACTACGATATGTTTTGCTACACTAAATTTGAAAAAAAATCCTATTTTTCATATCATTGAATTTCCTATAATCACGATATTACAATTCATTTGTTTATTTACATTTTTACACTTATGAAATATAAAGAAACAATTTTTAGTCGAATTATAAATGCATTTAATTGCCTAATTTCGTACAATTAGAATAGATGTTTGTAATTTATAAAAATCCGATAATTTTATTAAACATAGTTTGATAAAAGCAAATAAATTAGATCATGTTCACTTTTATTACAATGTATTTTCAAAATGTATACATAATTTGGATTCAGTTCTCGTAAAGTCAATAACTCCAATGATTATAATGTTTTAAAAACATAATATTTATAATTGTTATTATGCCTATCTAAACTTTTCAATTTACTTTGTCAATTGCACGTATTCTATTAATATGTAACAACTATGTAAGGAAACATTTACCTATACAAACTATAAGGAACTATAGAATATTATTTTTCACAAGTTATAATATTTATGAAGTATGATATATATCACATCGAATATAGTATGAACATTAATTTCATAAGTTTATACATTACGAATAACAGCATTGTTTATGTGTTGTATTTTATTTATATGTTTATAATATAAGATAATTTTGGAAATTGTATAGTTATAAATAACAAATAACAGGATTTTCTAAGACGTATCATATTTAGACTTATAGAATATATCTTGAAAAGTGTTACTTATCAATAATCGCTAATCAGATTGTCAATAAAGGGCCTATACATATTAACTGGTGTATGCAAATTTACTTGGTTCGGATGATATGGAATGGTTAATCTTGGATTTACGGCTATATTAATGCCTATAAGAGAACCACAATATGTAACTGGACCACCACTGTCGCCCTAAAATATAAAGAAAATCATTTTATACATAATCATTACATATAATCCTATGATATATTCATATTAAGGCTATTGACTTTTATGTTAAATTACTAAATGACTTTTTGTGTGGATCTTAACGAGCAAATATTGTAACCTTGAAATTATTGATATTGAATATATTAAAAAAAAAAAAAAAAAAAAAAAAAAAGCATAATTACAATTAACTACAATAAATTACGTATATTTATCGATGATCCAAAGTAAATTCAATAAATAAATTTCATTGTAATTTTTTTATAGAGTATAAATATAACGTAGTTTACAAATTTTCAAAATTATTCAGTATATCATCTCGCTTATTAATTACGAACTAACAAATCTAAAAAGAAAAAAACTGAAATGACACTTTTTAATGGTAAAAAGGTTTTGAGATCTCTAATTTTAAGGTTTGAGGTCGTCTAATTCAATCATCTAATATTCAAAGATACCGAAAGAAATAAGAGACTTCACTTTATATTCAGCCTTTGGCAAAATGCAGATTTAATTAGTTAAATTATCATACGTATGATCCTAATAATAATATATAATTTCATCGAGCAAAGGAAATAATATTTACCTCAAATATAAATTCTACAAAAATATTATATAAATATGTGTGCGAGCCATATATAAACGGTTTCATCTAATAATATTATTGATGTTATGATATTATCAATAAATTGATATAAAGAATAATATTTCTAATAGCCATTTGAATAAACAAATTTATAAAAGAAACATATTAATACGTACACCTGTCATTAGAATAAAGGGATTATTATTTGTACAAAAAACATTATTTGGAACCAGGCTATATGTATTTGAAAGATGTGAAACTATAGATCCACAGTTGCGGTGGGTAATAATCCTTAAAGTTGCTTTCCGAATGGTCAATGGATATATATTATCATTGTCTGTACCACAGCCGTATATTTCAACATATTGTCCAAACAGTGAACTTATTGGTGTTATTTCAGATATAATAGCTGGATTAAATGGAATCGGTAGTCCAAATATCTGTAAGGAATTAGTTGAGTTAAGGTAATTGAATGTATAATATAGATCAGATGTTGTTATTACATAGGCATATATACACAATACCATTTTTTAAAAAGAATATCATACTTTTATTATAGCAATATCATTCTGGTAGTGTATATTCGGTAAATTTAAAGCCGCAATCCACTGATCGAAACTTATCCACCATATTGGATTGTATCTTATACTACGTGATAATTCACCAGGTCCAACTAGTACTTCAATTCCAAAAACTTCTACATTCTCGAAACAGTGCTCAGCTGTGAGTACGTGAGTCAACGAAATTAACACTCCTGTGCAATGGATAGAGGCGTTCAATTCCAGATGAGGATTACGTTTAACTAAAACAACCGCAGGTGGATATTCATTTTCTTCTACCGATCTGATATTATTAATATCACCAACCAATGCCATCGAAAAGGAATAATGCATACAATCTGAATCATAAATATATTTACAATTGGATATATATAAATATATATATAATAACAGAACGATATATATTGTTCTGATATTCTCTAGAGTATTTTTGTTGTACTATTGGAAAAAATCTGTAATACATAATACTTACGGAATATTGTAAGAAAAATAAATATTTCACCAGACATGATGGACAGTATATAACAATATATAGTAAAAATTGAATCTTATAAAATAAATTAGTGTTACCTAGAATATTAGAAAAACTAATTATATTCAGGCTATGTAAAAATTTTACCTTAAAATGAAATACAATAAAAAATAAAAAACAATTACAATTTAATATAGTATAATAAAGTTTATCAAATTTCGTGATAAACATTAAATTTCCTAAAAGTGTTCGAATAAATAAATAAATAAATAAATATATATATATATATATATATATATATATATATATTTTCATAAATTATATGAAAATTGTTATATATGTTATAATGAATAAAACTATGGGATATTTTTTTTTTTTTTTTTTTTTTGTTTGGATATTTTTTTTTTTTTTTTTTTTTGGTTCGTTAATCAACACAAATTAATGCTCATTATCGAAATTGATGACAATTGAATATGATATCCTGGAAATGATAAATTAAGTTGATTCAAATCGTTCAGTTTTTCGAAACTCGATTCTTATTATCATTAAACAAGAATACTTTAATAAAAAAAATTTAAAAAAACAGCGTCAATCGCATTACATATTTTAATAAATAAGCTGTTATGGGTATATAATGTAATAACGATATAAATATACTCACATATAACGTTTAATGTAATAGTAACTATTTATCTTATTTTTCGTATGCGATTTTTGAGTTACACAGTCACATATCGCAATGAAACATTAGTAAAAATAATCAATGTCAATAAATAGAAGATATACAAATATTACAATAAATACATCTCATTGTTAGAGTGGGCAATCGTTGTGTGAAATGAAATAAATAAATCATGAATTGTATTTGCGAATTAATGGAAAATGTTTACAGCAATCTGATTCTGATAAAAAAAAATGTTTATTGACAATAAAGAAACAAGTGTTTGTTATATTATTTTATTGTACGTATTTGTTGTATAATAATTTACATTTGAATTATAATTATTTCTATAATAATCAATATGTAATAAAAGAATCACATTATCAATGATCACTTTTATTTAAACTAACTCATTAAAATCATTTTAAGTCATTTTATATATTTGAACATAGGATATTTCTTTCGCATATCGTATTATGATACTTAAACACAACTAATATTTATTAATCAAGTTCGAATAATTTCTTTAAAATATTAAAATATTATGTATTTGAGGAGAAAGTAGTTGAGTTACAATTTCATTTTTTACAACGATATAAATGATTTGGAGGATCGATTTTTTTTTCGTTTTCTTTCATGGAACGTTAATATTAATTAAGTACTGACAAACTAAAATACTATAGTTAAAATAATTTTGAGTTAATGTTAACAATATAATTATCATTATCTATCTTTATCCTATCCATCATTTTCTATAATATGGTTTATAAAAATTCTGTACAAGTACAGATAAAGATGAATGTTTACTTTATTAGGATGAAAGGTGCCGTGATAAGGTGGTGATACGCCCAGATTTATACCTACAATAGCGCCATTATATAGAAGTGGACCACCGTTATCTCCCTGAAATGAAAATGCAATTCATTAGGTTTATTTACAATCGAGCATAAATTTTCATAATTTTGCACATGCAAATATAATCTACATGCTAAATATCATTTTAAATAAATGAATTATATTTTCCGTTGTCTGCGTCGGCTACTATTTCACGAAGTATATAAACTATAATAGTTTTTTTATTTCCTTCGCACGATGTTATAAAGTAAGTTAGTTAATGTAAGGCATTGATGGTTTGCTTCAATTTGTTTTTCATGTCTTTGTTTTCATTGGCTTTTATCATTTGAGATGTATGGAATTGATATCTGTGCCACATGCCTTATTAATTCAAAGATATTTCTGATAATGACAAAGAATGAAATTATAATATTTAGAATTCTTTTATGCACATAATTTCTATAACTCAAAATTTTATTTATAATTCCTAAATTATAAATAAAACTGGTTTTAAAATAATATTCCAACAGTATAAGCTAACATATGTCTATTTGTTTTCTAATGGAATTTCTACCGTTTGTATTGTATGAATATAAAAAAAAAAGTATTTAAAATGTAATTCTGAATATATATATATATATATATATATATATATATATTTTTTTGTCAATCTAAAATAACCATTATAAATATTCTATTTGTTAAATTATTTAAAAAAAAAAAAAATAAAAAATAAAATAATCGTAATACAGTTCATAACTGTAAAACAAATTTTTCCTAATATCCTCGTATAATTCTAATGAATCATAAGAATATTTTCACTTTATAATTTTAAATTTAAAATGGTTGGATTTAAAATTGTTGTTGAAAGTAGTACTCAGATAATATAATGTATTATTTATGTATCGTTTTACAATGCGTTCTCTAAATCAAAATTTAATTAGTATTCTTACAAGTTGACAATCCACATATAATTAGTATATGAAATGGATTATTAAGATAATACTTTTGAGCATTAGAGCATGTGGGTATACAATACGTACATTAGTAAGTTGAGCGTATGGTGTTCTTGAGGAGCATATGTAGTTTACTGACACATACAAAAGCACTCCTTCGATCTGTGAAGCTCTATGACCGCACTCGCTGTGATGTAAAACCCTCGCTTCAGTAGTTTGTACTCTCCACGTATACTCGACATTATTTGTTCTACCACATCCGAGTAATTGAACATCTAATCCATAAAACACGGAGGTATCCATAGCCGCTGACAATACACCAGAAGTCACTTGATCGTTTAATCCAATAACCTGAAATAATTCCTCTATTTGAACGCAATGTGTATTTAAACGAGTAGCAAAATATAAGAAAGATTTTGTCTTATTTGTATTTTGATCTCTCAATAGTAAGATACGATTAATTAAACAATTTAGCAATTGTAATATCAATTTTTTGCCCTAAATTAACGTATTAATTTTATGAATGATAATTTACTTTCATCATAGCAATATTATTATTTAAATGCACAAGCGGTAAATCCCGAGCGACGGTCCACTGATCGTATGATGTCCACCATATTGGATAGTAAGATAGTGTCTCGAGCAAATGACCAGATCCAAGTAGTATTTTAATTGCAAAATTTCCCAGATTATCCATGCAGCTTGCAGCTGTCATGACATGACTATTTGATACAAGGGATCCTGAGCATATTACATTACTGATTACGTTAGAATGAGGCGAGTACTTTGCAATGCAAACAACATAAGGAACTTCATTATCATTCACTGATCTAATATTATATCCAACTAATGCCCCCGCGTATGGAAAGTTAGAAATGCTTTCTGTAATTTAAAAGTTATATGATATATTTTGTAGAAAAAATATTTTTAAAAATTCTCCATTACTTACGTAATAATACAATTTGAAAGAACAAGAAGATTTTCCTATAATACATACTGAAAAAATAAATTGAAAACTTTCAGCTTAATATATATTTTCTATATGTCTCTACTACATAAATTATTTTTGTCGTTATTATGAATAATTATATTTATTTTAAATAAAATCGATTAACACTGTATAATTTAGTATACTTATAGGTTTGAAGTATTTCATTGTAAAAAGTTAAATCAAATTTTGTTAGTGAAAAGAATTTATAATTAGATTAACAATTTTTTATTTTATACAAGTATTTATATAATTAGTGAATAATAAAATTGGAGTATTATCAATTTAATGATTATACGCCATTCGTAATTTAGGTAAAAATAAATTTTATTGACATTATATTATTAATATTTTAATTTACATTTCAAAGTTCGTTTTTATAATATGCGGAAAATGATAATAATACATTTTTAATACATGTATATATAATTAAATTATTTTAAAATTTTATAAGAATTCAATTTTATTTAAATTAACTCTAAAATCATTTTAAGCTATCACGCTTCTCGTCTTATTTAATATAATTACACTAATATATGAGAGATAATTACTAATGAACAATGTTTGGTAAGTCAAATATCAATATTTTACTATTTAATAATGGTATTAAAGTTTTAAAAAATTATTTATCTGATGAATAGTAAGAAATAGCGAAACTTTTATGATATATAAAGTTTATCTATTGTAAATTTTGTATCGAGTAAGTAATTAAATTTTAATAATATTTAATCAAATAAGAAATTAAGTAAACAATTTTCAAAAGTCACCAAAAAAAAACAATTTAATTATTTCATTTTTTACAACGATATAAGATGATTTGATGTGTCAATGTTAATTATTAATTACTCTTAACATTAATATTGTATTGCCAATCTAAAATTGCTAACTAAAATTAAAATAATTTTCAGTTAAACTTAACGGGATAGTTAATGATAAATATTTTTATCCTATCATTCATCCGCTATAACATTGTTCAAAAAATCTCTGTATAAATAAGCATATATGTGAATGTTTACTTTTTCAGGATGAAAATTATTTCCAAACGGCGGGCTTACGCCCAAATTTATGCCTATAATAGCGTCAGAAAATATAACTGGTGCACCACTATCCCCCTGAAATATAAATAAAATTTAGATTAGATAAATTTCTAACAAGTATAAATTTAATAATTATATAACTTTGTGTGTGTGTGTGTGTGTGTGTGTGTGTGTGGGTGGGTGGGTGGGTGGGTGAGCGTGTGCGAACGCGCGTGTGAGTTTGCGAGACTTAGCGGCTGTGAGTGCGTGAACGAGCGCGCTTATGCGCGTATTTGTTTGTAATTCGTACATTCAATATCCCTGTGAATTTGTATATTCTGTTTCCTGCATTGGCCACATCGCACGAAATATATAAATCTAAAATTTTTGTTTTCTTCGTATAATCTTACAAAATAAGTTAATCAAATATTACTAATGAACATAAAACCTAGTTTATGTTCTGTATATTTTTTACTCTTCGTTTATTTTGTACTTTATTATTGTCGTATAAAAAAATTAATGCATTTTTCGAAATTATAATGCTTTTAATGGTTGTGCATTACCATCTCCCATTACATACAATTTTAATTATAATTCGAAAATTGAAAAACATAAATTTGTGTATGTCGATTTTAAAGAATTTATATTATAAAAAATTTATTTAGAACAATATATTCCTTCTGTTTTAAATAGTTTTAAAGCTTGAATTATATTGATATGCATATAATTATGTTATTTATTAAAATTTTAAAATACGTTCATAGTACATACTCTACTCGTTTGAATATATGGTGAATTCCTTGTACATATATAATTTTCTGGAATATACAAGTGTGATCTGGCAACATAAGAAACTATATGATTACACTCATTAAGATTAAGAACCCTTGCATTAGCAGTTTGGACAGTTAACGGATGCTCATCATCATTCGTTCTACCGCATCCGACGAGTTGGAAGTTTAATCCATAAAATACATTAATTGGAGTTATATCTGATAAGACGCCAGGAATTATTTGATGTTCTAATCCAAAAATCTGAAAGAATCCCTCTATTTAAATTGTAATATGCATTGAGATCGCTAATAAAATACAAGAATTTTTAAATAATTTATATCTTTAAATATTAATTTATATTATTAAATATTAATTGTCTAATAAATTATTTAACTGCCCAATAATTAGAAGATTAAAATTTTTTTTTATTCTAAAATATTAGGTTTTTTTTTTTTAATATGATATACTTTTAACAGAGCGATATCATTGTTCAAGTTTGTAATTGGTAAGTTCCGAGCTGCGGTCCATTGATCATACGATATCCACCATATTGGATAATAAATTGGATAATTGTGTGGTTGACCATATCTAAATAATACTTCGAGTGCCAAATCCTGCAGATTATCGAAACAGTGCTCAGCCGTTAAAATAAGATTCGGTGTTATAAGTGCTCCTGAGCATATTATACTATTGGTTAAGTGATTACGAGGGGAGTACTTTGCAATGCAAACAACATAAGGAACTTCATTATCATTCACTGATCTAATATTATATCCAACTAATGCCCCCGCGTATGGAAAGTTAGAAATGCTTTCTGTAATTTAAAAGTTATATGATATATTTTGTAGAAAAAATATTTTTAAAAATTCTTCATTACTCACGTAGTATTATAGTTTGGAGAAGCAAAAATAATGTTTTATTATACATAGTCACGAAATTAAATTCGAAAATTTAATAGATAATATTATATTTATCAGCGGAATACGTCGCGTCCTTTTTACTTCTTTTATTGTAAAACTTATCGATATTTCTTAACATACGTTGCGTACCTTTAAATATGATCTTAAGGCGCATACTTGTTCTATTACTATACAATAATTGGATGTTCTTAGTCTCCGGTGATCATGGCAAACAATAAGCCACGTCATGGATCGTGGATCACACAAATCGTGAATTACACAAAAAGGAAAATGAGAGATACGAGCACAAAGAGCTAATCATTATATATCGTTTAGAGATCACGAAGGCAGAAAAAAGTATATCATCTAAATAAAGCAATCTAGATTGACCTTTATGACTTTTATGTGGATGCTTTTTATATGGTTCTGGTAACTTACTCATTAATTTTGTTTTCAATTGTTTCACTCGTACTAGCTAGAAGTTTTAAATGCAATCAACCGATAAATAAATTATAATCAATGTACGACTGATTTGGCGGATAAATTGAGTAAAATATATAACGGCATATCAATTATTTAGAATCTACAATTGACAATAAGTTAATATGTATTATTTATTAAATGTTTACATGGATAAGCACAACGATTAAATTATTAATCTTAATAAAAAATTTTTAAAAAATTTAATAGTTATGGTATTAATGCAATCTTAGTGAACAGGATTCTGAATATTTACTCCTACGTCAGAAATTAAAACCTCGTCGAGCATTTTATTTTGTTAAAAAAACAATTATTGTGAAATTTATAATGTGTAAAATAATCATATGTTGGAATAAAGTAATTCCGACGTATGGTAAAGTATAATTTCTTTAAGTGAACAATAGTAATTTCAGATACTCGCATATTACAGTAAAAAAGAAAATTTTTACAAATTTAAACAATTAAAATTTGAGATTAATAATTTTTTCGTAATATAATATATGTTTATTTACGTTTTCAAATTCAACTATTTTAATAATATTTAAGCATTTTCTATGCTTTAAATGACATAAATTGCTCAATAATCCTAAGGAATGTTGTTAAAAAGAATCTTATTACAGTTTTCCATGAATAAACAAATTATTAAATACTTTAATAATTTAATTCAATAATACATTATTAATCATTTTAAAAAACATAAAGTCATAGTAATCACTACCCATACGAAGGTTGAGTTTATTAGATTCATCAATGCTAACTATTAATTTTTATTAAATATATAATGTGCTTTTGTAAAATTAGGAAATTAAGATTTACTTATTACATAATAATAGAAATTTTAAAAAAGTACTATATTTCACTCTAATCAACTCCTGTGAACCATTCGCCTATTATTAACTAATTAATCAATTAACACCATATAATAAACGTTCGTTTACGTATAATTTTAATACGACGGAGACAATTACGTAATATTAGGTAATGATTTAATTAATAAAATAGTACTTCATACTTAAAATAGCATTCTTAATATTTTGAAAATATTAAATGTGATATATATATAAATATATATATATATATATATATGTATATTGTTGATGTAAAAATATTGAATTATAAAAATATTTTTTTTTTTCATTTTATATAAAATTCCATTTCCAAATAAATATAGTTTATGGTAATATTTTTATTATACCTTAATTTATTTTTATGATAAAATAAATCTTTAGATTAGCATAAACTACCTCTTTGTAAAATTTGTTAGAAAATTATACTTGTTAAATAAAAAATTAAAATTTTTTTAATAAAAAACAAATAATTTTATATAAAATGTATTAGCACGTACGCCAGGAGTTTATACACATGGAGTGTTGTTTGCGCATATAATATTAGGAACATGTAAATATTATGTACTTTGTAAAACTATTACATTTAATATTTGAATCATTATCGGATATTAATTAAAAATAGATTTACCGTGACCGTGAGTGTAAAATAAATTGAATGAACAATCCAAATCTCTAAAATGACTTTTAAGATTTCTCTTCAATTCTGTTCATTTATGTTTTAATTAGCTAAATTATTTTAATTACACATAATTGTTGAGATAATATTTAATATTTTAATGTATACTGAAAACAGAATAAAAAAATATATTGTTGATAATATTAAGCTTAAACATAATATAACGACAATATTCTTTCTTACATGAATAGTTTAATTTTAATACAGCAATGTCATTGTAGCTTCTTATTATAATCCTACGACGTCTATATCATTGGATGATAATACGAAAATATAAATCCACATTAGTATTATAAACTTATAGTGTTATATAATATTTAAATGTTACTGATAAAATGTTTAATTGCATTTATAATTAACATATTTACAATAGTATTAAATATTCGTATCATTCGGTAATTAACTAGTAATTTTTACAAATTTTTCTTAAAAGACTTAAGATATCCTTTGTATTCATCTTTAAATAAATAAATATTAACGCTTTACAATAGAATCTACATTGTTTTAAAAGATAACGCAACTTGTGTATTTAATCTCTTAACCGAGTATACGATAAATTTGAACATGTTCTCGTGGCTTTTGATATATATTAAGTAATTATATTAAAATTTCATATTACATTTAATAAATATGTAGTAACACAATAATACGTTGAAAAATTATGTTCAAATTCTTTATCACTTTAGGTAAAAAATATATTTTAAAAATTTATAAAAGTGGATTACATTCAATTAGTTCCACTATATCATTCCACAACTAATATAATTGTTTTAATTTAATATTATATTATACGTAATCTTATATATATATACAAACAGAATAATATCAGAAAAAGATGCAATCAAAATAGTTGTAACCAATTACATTATACTAATATTCTACATTTATTCGTTTTTTATATTTTTAAGTGCTTTAATGTTAACTGTTTACCACTTACTCAATATATTGTTTATAATGGTTTATCAAACAATTTTACCATCATTTACCGCATCCATTTACACTTGCCTCACTAAAACTTTATCTCAGTAAGCCACATTCAAATGAAGAAGTTACTGAGAGAGTTGCACCATTAGGATTATAATTTCAAAAATATTTGTTGAAATTTGATTTGAATTAGATATGTTCAATATAAAATAATATTATTAGAGTAATTATGTTTTTAAGCTTAATAACCAGTTGAAAAAATAAAATGAAGGGATATGACACACACACGCACTTATGGATATACACGAACGTGTGTTTTAATAAAAATACATTAACAGATGGGGGAGGGGGGAAGAATAAAAAATTAAGTGCATAATAATGAAAATGGGAGATATAGTTTTGTTCAAAGGTAACGAATACATGTGTGCATATATATTTACTTATTCATAATTGATATCCACGAATGTAGTTATTTGGATCTCATAGATATAATAAACCTCGTAGAAAGCAGATATTATCGTAAAAAGCAGGATAGTACTATTGTAAGATATATTACCTTTTAAATATTATGAAAATCCCTAGTAATGGAAGATGGAAGACCTTATTTGTCATATATTAGATGCTTGTCGTAAATCGAAACTAAAATTGTTATATATATATATATATATATATATATGCGCGCGCGTGTGTGTGTGCGTGTGTGCGCGTGCGCGCGCGTGTGCGTGCTTGTGTAAAATACAAAAAAATATAATTTCGAGGTTGGTTCATGCCTTGTACGATCAGACTATAAACAATGATGAATGTCGTTTGCTGGAGACGCTTATTGATTATATTTGATTTTGAATGGTTAACTAAATTAAATTTCGTAGAGTATTATAGCCTTGAAATAGCACATAGCAACCGATATAAAAGCTATGAGGTGGTCAAAATGACAAATAAACGGCGAATTAACGTTTTATCTAGTTCCTCGTCTCTATAATTAGCAATAGTGTTAAGTCTATGAATATAGACGTTGTATATATAAATACAAGTTTACATAAACTGTGAACAATAAATAGGTTTAGACAAAACCTATCTATATTTGATCTATACAATAAATACTAGCGGATATTTTTATCAAATCAGAAAGAAAGGATAAAGAAAACAATTAGTTAAATAGAATAACAATAAGGTTACTCCGCACTTTGGCTTGACTGTTTGCAAATAGTGAATTTCATAAAAAAAAAACCATGATTAAAAATAGGATAAATATTTTAGAGATTATTTCGTTATAATATCTACAGTTTTAATTTATGGAATGTTATAAAAATAAAAATGTGAACACTTAAAATATCGAATGATAAATATTTATAAAATGAATGTATATAGATTATTTTTAATTCACAAATAGTTGTCTATAATGGAGAACGGAGATCCATATAAATTGCATATTTTACATTTGCATTTAAAATTCGTAAACAACTTTCAAACGTACTTTTATTAATTTCCATCAAAGAAAAAGAAAAGAAAAAGAAAAAAAAATCAGTATATGAGCAATAAATATTTGAACGTGTAATTCAGTAAGTAAATTCAAGAAGAATTGAAGCTAATAATCCTATTGACTAGTATAAACAGTAATAGGATATTTTATTACTAATACACCTTCGAAAATCTAATAACTGATTGATCATAATATATTCATTAGATAGGATGATAATTTGTATCGAATATTAAACTTGGAGATCATATTATTATTATAAGTCTATAAATTCTAATTTTAATGTATTATAATATGAGTTATTAAAATTAATATTTTTTGGCCAGAACAATTAGTATTTCCAATTAGATTTTCTTCCAGTATTAGACCTAAAAATACAAACTACAAAGAAAAATTCATCTCTTATAATATTGAATATTTTATAATGTTAAATTAGTGAACTGTGATGAGTTATGTATCAAATATTTATCATATAGATCTGTTAAGTAGAAAACGTTTGAGTATTAATCTGCTATTTGTGAGAAATTATTCTCTAATATTCAATTAGTTTATTCAATCCACGATTAAACAACTACTTGTTGGAAGTTTTTTTAATATCTAATTTTTACTGATTTTTTTGTTTTTTTTTTTGTTTTCTTTTGTCATACTTAAGAGAATTTCTTTTAAGATAAACAACTTTGTTCCTAAAATTGATCAATAGCTCGATAATCAGGTCACACATAACTGTGCAAGCTGAGGGATGAATTGAAGATAGAAGATGTCTTTTTCTTCATTATGAAAAGAGGGAATAAAAAAGATGAGCAATGAGATGAAGCACGTTTCATTGGATACTAAAAGGGCCCATACAATCATATTCGTGGTGAAGATTAAAACGAGCATAATACAATTTTAGGAAGTCACATATTAATAATTCTATACAGTTGATAATCAAGTTAAAAAAATCTTGCCTCATTAAACATAAGAGTTGCACCTGTTATACGCTACTTAAATACCTTATTTGCCAATAAAAAATAAAATATGGAATAGTTATGCTTTGATATAGAAACATGCTCTGGTAAAGAAGTATTTTGGTATTTTGTTGAGGTATAAAGAAATTCATTAAATTAACTATTCTTGATAAGACAGGCCGATAAAGAGATTATCGAGTCAAATTAAACTTTCAGGCACATACATAATGACGCAATAGATACATTTTAAAGAAATACATATTTGTTTATTATATCATATATTATTATATTGCTAAAGTATAATTCATATTATTCATTTCTTAAAGTTTTCTCCGGTTAATTCAAGTCTTGATAATCATACTTATGAAATAAACAATATTTTTTTGCTCAACTTTAAAACACTCGAATTATTAAACTGCAACAGTATAATAACTACTTCATTACTTACTCCTCATTCGTGCATTCGTTTGCCAACGACATAATTAACGCTCTTACTACGCAATCTTACCAACGAGTATAGAATGGACCAACCAAGAATGGAAGTGCATACTAAGTTAAGTAAGCCGCCATACCTTTTTTTCTGCAGTAACGAAACTATATAAGGCGTAAGAAAACATTGCTTAATACGTGGAACCTTAAGCCTAGGTACTCGATTACCGACATTTTGACGGCGCCTGCAATTATAGTCTCTACGAATCCAGTGGGCGCATATATGAAATGGAAGCATACATTACGTGCGACATCTGTCGGCGTAGTATTACGTTACAATTCCTAAACTCTAAAACATTCACGATCATTAATAATTATATTTTGGTTGCGTTGCGTACACAAAGTTGAAAAAGTTGTTCTGACAATTTATGATAAAAGTAAATTAATTTTGTATATAAAATAAATAATGGAGACGATTTTGGAGCAGCAGCGTCGTTATCATGAGGAGCGAGAGCGCTTGATGGATGCCATGGTAAAGGAAATGTTACACAAAAAACCTGGTCATAGGGAAAACATAAATTCGGAACATCGTTTGAAATTGTTGTTGGACCAGTTTATGGAAAGTACTTTGCATTTGCAAGAATTGTATGAAGATAAAGACGGTCAAAGAAAGGAGGAAGTACGTTCAGGCTATTTTATCATTTTTAATACAATTTTCTGTTTATTACATACTAAATTGTTTTCTTTTTTTTCTTTTTGTTATATATATATATATATATATATATATATATCATGTAATTTTGTAAACAATAATATGTTTACCGTACCATTGATTTTAACTATTTGTTTTGTAAAAAAAAAAAAAAAAAAAATTAGTCGTGGTAGTGTTGTGGTAAGTTGTGGTAAATTAAATTTTCTCAATCAAAATTAGGTATAAAAATGACCATTTTTATTAAAACGAAGACAAGTGCACGCTTGAAGAAATGGTTTTTAATATTGAATAAGTTTCTTTTATTCTATAATTGTGTATTTTCTAATTATGAAATAAAAATTATACGTTTGATTGACTTTAACGTATTTTTATTGCTCTTAGGTTCAAGCGCTCGCTGGTCCAAATGAATTTTCAGAATTTTATTCCAGACTTAAATCTATAAAAGAATTTTATCGTCGACATCCAAATGAAATTAGTGTCCCTATGTCAGTTGAATTTGAAGAACTGGCAAAAATGAGAGAGAATCCCACCGAAGAAACTGCAAATCTTATTGACTTTACAGACGAAGAGGGTTATGGAAAATATTTAGATTTACACGAATGTTATGAAAAGTACATTAATTTAAAAGGAATTGAAAAAATTGATTATATTATGTATTTGTCAACATTCGATCACCTCTTTGATATACCAAAAGATAGAAAGAATGCAGAATATAGACTGTATGTCGAAACGTTATTAGAATACTTGGTAGACTTTTTAGGAAGAGTTAAACCACTTTTAGATTTAAACTGTGAACTTATCGATGCAAATAAAGAGTTTGAACTGCAATGGGAAAATAATATTTTCCCTGGATGGCCGAAAGAAGCTGGTAGTGCTTTAACGAATGTTGGAGCACATTTGGAATTGTCAGCATTTTCTTCTTGGGAAGAATTGGCGTCACTTGGCTTAGATAGATTAAAGTCCGCTCTTTTAGCACTTGGATTAAAGTGTGGAGGTACCTTAGAAGAAAGAGCCCAAAGATTGTTTAGTACAAAAGGTGAAGCTTCTCTAGATCCTAATTTGTTAGCAAAGAAGAAGCAAAGGAGGCCTGGTAAAGGTAAGAACGTTGAAAAGCAAATGGAAGTAGCAAGATTGGAAGCGCAAGTTTATAAACTAGCTGAATTAGTATCGAGTCAACGAATGGCCACAAAAGAAAATGTACAAAGAAAACAAGCCAGAACAGAAGGCGAACGTGGAGATTCCGATGCCGAAGCAAGTGCGAGCGAATCAGAAGAAGAAGACGATAATAATGTACCCTATAATCCTAAAAATTTACCACTTGGTTGGGATGGAAAGCCCATTCCTTATTGGCTATATAAATTACACGGTTTAAATATTAGCTATAATTGTGAAATATGTGGTAATTTTACATATAAAGGTCCAAAAGCTTTTCAACGCCATTTTGCAGAATGGAGGCATGCACATGGTATGCGTTGCCTAGGTATTCCAAATACTGCACATTTTGCTAATGTTACACAACTGGAAGATGCAATTGCATTATGGGAAAAACTGAAAGCTCAAAAACAAGCAGAAAGGTGGCAGCCTGAACAAGAAGAAGAGTTTGAAGATTCGTTGGGTAATGTTGTGAATCGTAAAACTTATGAAGATTTAAAACGACAAGGTCTTTTGTAAATTACTTATATATTTGTAAACTTACGTAATAAAGTTACAACTTTATTTAATGGAAAATAAATAAAATATTTAAACAACTTTTTACAATAATATTTGAAAAATGAGTAATTTTTCATTCTGTTAATAATACAGAATTTTTTGTTATTTTAGTTTCAAATTGCATATAAAACATTACAACAATGTTTTATTATGCTTTATTTGAATATATATTTTACAATAAGTTTGTAAATATTTTAATATAATTTAATAGATGAAACATATTAGAACGAACATTTTTATATCAGTCCTTAACTTTACCCTAAATGAAGTATATTAACAATAATATTAATAATACATTCTATACAAGGATTACTAATTATATTAATTTAATTTTCATAATTTATTATTTTTATTATAAATTATGTAATTTTCATTTTTATTTCATTTATAAGCACTTGAATTTTTTCTAAAAATTAATTAATAAATTTCATTTAGAAGCAATAAAATATATTTAAATAATAACTTAAGAGTTTTATTATATTTATAAATAATTGATTCTATTTGATTATAATTTTTTTGTAATATTACAGTATAGAAAATTTTATATAATTTAAATATTTTAAAAGTCTTTGTGTTTAAAATATATTAAATATAAAAGTATGTCTTGGAATTTTTTTTTTTAATTAATATGAAATATTTTCCTTTGTATAAAAATTAAAATTAATTCTAAACATAAATGTAACAAAATGAAATATACATCACTAGGTTAATTTAAAATAAATATATATTTATATAATGGTTTCATAATGGTCTAATTTTATTACTTTTTATTTAATTATTATTTAATTTTTAATATTATCAATCAATTACAACAAACTAAAAATGAAATGATCCTAATGTAATAATATGTACAATTAATTATGAAATGATATTTACTATCATAACAAATATTAAAATACGATTATATCTTTATTTTAAACATCTTGTAATACAAATTGTGTAGAATTATTTTCTTCGTTAGATTGTGTACCTTCTAAAATATTCTTTTTAAGTATAGCATTCTCAAGTTCGAGGGCTATTAATTCTCTTTTTCTGTGCTGAATACGACAATTTGCAAAATAACCAATTGATACTATCATATACGACGCAAACCCACAATGAGAAGATAATGCAGCTTTACTTGTATATAAAAAGGTTAACAGTCCAACGCCAACCCATGACGAGAATGAATAAACCATAGTTTGCTTAAAGCATGGAATTTGAAAAATATCTTTTTTCAAAATATACAAACTGAATGCTGGTTTTTCATCATTATCCATTATTTCTATAAATAAAAGATAAATACATGTTATATTAGCATATTAGTAATAAAATCAATCAGAGACAAAAATAAAAAATAAAAATTTCCAAAAATAAAAATTTGAATTAATACTTAACATTAATATTTATATAAATTTATTTTCTAATTTTTGTCTTTAATTTTAAAAATAAATATTTAATAATGTAACATCATTTCATAATAAACATCAGCATTTTTCACTAACGTTATTCGTATTTTCTAGATAAACAGACTTAAAAATTTAAGGAAGTTTTCATAAAAAATTGTTTAAATTTTAGAAAATAACGAATTTAATATTTGCAGACAGCAGACAATTTAACTTACCGATTATCCCTTTTATTTATAAATAATCACGTACAGTATTAATAGGCTTGGTAGTTCTTTACAATAAGTATAATAAATATTTAAAGGAACTATTTTTGATAAAATGTATTTTTTCTTAAAGTAGATACTCTAATTTATCGATAGAGGCGCTAAAGTATTACATAAAAACTCCAGAATTAGACGTGAAAATGATTTGAAATGCATCAACCGCCACTGGTTGGTTTATTCTAAAAATTATCAATTGTTCTTTAATAAAATATTCTTTAATTTTGTTTAAAGTGAATCTGTTAAATTATTATTATATTAAAATAGTAAAATTAGTAAAAATATAAAATATATAATGTACATATTTTTGTAAGTAAAAATTTTCAAGAAACATATAACGTTTATTTATATATTTTTATAAAATTTAAATTATAAATACGGCTCGATAATTGATATTGATGCTAACTTATTTTTATTTTAAAAGTAAAGACGTATTATTAAATTAAGTATGGGACAATAATAATTACCAATATACCGAGCATTCAAAATACAGAGAGAGAAAATATATTTTTGTATTATATATCTAGACTTTTTAAAATTTTAATCGAAATAACGTTAATTTTTTACACATAATTACAATCGGAAATTAATATTTGTTATTCATATATCACGTGACTCTCATACATTTAATTTTAATTTGTACTAATATAAAAATATGCGTAGATCAACATTCCGGCACTGCACATCATATCGTTTACTGTTAGTTCGAAATCTTCATTTTCTACATAACATTGTTCTTCATATAATAAATATCTTTATTTTTGGTACAAAATATGCAATATATATTTTGCTTATATAATTATTTAGTCCAATAGTGTAAGTAATGTACATTTTTAATTTATATCTATTGCACAGTATAAAAATAACTGGCTGAGAAGTAATGTTAAGAGAGATAATGAGATCATGAAGTTAACCTAAAAGTGTTCTATACCATCGCACTTGTTTCTATATTTGATGAATTTTCATATAAGTCATTGCAAGAGAAGAAATTGTCTCGAAGAAGAATAAATTATGACAGACCAGGAAATAAATGACGTAATTGGACATGACAGTCCGATGGATCGTAAGTATAAAATAACTTTTTATTAGTCCATATTATTTGTTTACATGTACATTCATAGAAATTATTTATTATTAAATTATATATTTTTATATACAAAGTATTAATAAAGTACTGGAATAATACTAATAATAATAGAATATTTATGAGCTGTACTATTTGAATTTATGTTTTAATAAATGCATTTTAATTAATATGACATCAGGTATTTTTAAAATTATTATTAATGTCATAATGAAAGATAAACATAAAAATTCGTCAGTTTATACGTCTTTATAATTTATTATAAAATTTTGCTTTTTGCATAACAAGCCATTCAATTTTTATTAATTTTTTTACCTTAAAAGATCTTTAATTTAAACTATGATTTATTAATTTAATTTTTAACCCATTTGAACAAAAGAAACAAAGTTTTATAATTTGCTTTTAATATAATAATTATAAATATCAGTTTCAAATACTATTTCTGTTATAGTAAAATAATTATTAAGAAGTACAGAATTAAATAATGTTTTTTATAATTTTTCAAAATATAATAATAAAAAATAAAGGTTAGTATTTATAGAATTTTATATCCAAAAATATTGAAATTTCTTTTTTGTCAATGCCAAATGCTACATATTTTTTTAATGACATAAGAAATTAGAATTTCATGCGTGTTACACGTTTAAATTTCAATAATAATAATTTAAATAAATAATATATTAAGAAGAAAATTCTTTGATATTTCAAATTTCAGTGTTATTTTATATGATAAGTTGAGTTCAATTATTGAGCAATTTTAGTAAGATATATATATATATATATATATTTAGTTAACATGCTTTGGTTTATTTTTTGTTGATAAAATTAATGAATTACATTTTGTTCTATGATTGTCCCCAAAACTGACTATAACATTTTACCGCAAACTAATTGTTTTTATTTTTAGCCATAGTATAAATTTTTTTTGAATATTTAAAATAAATTGTTTACTTTTCTTATATTACAATTAAAAATTTATAAGTAAATTTTGCAAACAGATAATTTATTTAATTAATTTGCTGAAGCTGGTTTCAATGGATCCACTGTATTAAACTAAAAATATTTTAATAAATTTTCATTTAGTATAATATAGTATGTAATAGTAGGGTCTTGAATATATGTAAAGCGATACAATGAATATACGGTATACTCAAACGTTAAATATTTTTAAAAAGAAATTTTACTTTAGAAAACGAACATTTTTTTTGTATTTTAACACACTAATAATTTAATTTTGTAAGACAATTTTTCGCAAGTAATTACTATAAAAGTAGTACGTAATAAATAAAGTTATATTAAAAACTTGGCCATTTCAAATACGAAATTAAGAAAAATTATAATATATTAAATTATTTAATATTCTAACTGGTTGTTCTGGCTTGGTACCCAAAATAATGTTGCTCCAAGAAATATTATTGAGCAATTGTGAATCTGTTATTTGCATTGCGAACGCTATTTACAGTTTCAGATTCTACTTATGAATTTTAAGAAACATTATTAATAATAGTCACAAGAAATTTTATATTAGTTTAAAATTAAAAAATTATTTTGGAATTTATATATTTAGAAATATTGAAGGCACAGGTGCAAATTTTCCTTAAATTATGACTAGAAATTTACTTATACAAGTCTAAATTTCACGATGGGAAGAAATGTTTCATTCAACATATTTAATACTTATAATATTCTAAACACATATTATTATTAACACAATATTTGTTATATGTGTAATTGTATTTAAACGTATAAGAAGTATTTTAAACAGTTAAAATAAAAATAAAAAAATCAACCAAGTTAAGAAGGGAATCCTCTTGTCCAGCATTACTAGAATCTTTTGAATAATTTATAAAAATTAAAATAATACACATAATCTATAAATATTTGAAGTATATTATACAAAAATGACATTTTCTTTATATGCTGTGCACAGCTTTGACAATAGAAAGAAATTTAATTGATCTATGTAGCCCAACTTGGAAATTCGTGCAAGCCGAAGCTGTAAATTCCCCAAGTAGCGAAAGATGCCGTCGTCACAATTGCTGTGATGACACTCGGGCCGATGCCAGCAATTATGAAATCCTTGGTTTTAATTTTTCCAGCTGCACTGACTATTGCATTAGGTGGTGTTCCCACCGGTAAATGAAATGAGAATGAACAACCTAAAGTTGCTGGTACCATTAAGTAGAGAGGATGAATTTGAATGGCAATAGACTGAAATATAAATACATTTCGGATACCCATTAAAATTTTCAGAAATATATAGATTAACTTATTTAATAAATTATTAATCAACTCTTCTTTTTATTATATACGTTAAAATTATTAATTTAAATTTAAATTAAAGAGGCTTTGAAGGTACTTTTTATAAAAACATCTTACGATCATTAAACAAATTGCCATTATAAAAGCATAATTTTTTCATATGAATTGAAAAAGCATTTACTTGTAAGTCATCCTAATGTATTTTTTCACGTATTTTATTAAATCAAAAATATTAAAATATTAAAATATAATACTTTTTAAATACATTGTTTATTGCATTATTGATCTTTTAACCAACAATATGGCTTTTCTATCGAGTTCAAGCTACGAGTTTCTATGTAAATTTTATATTTGATTATAATAAAATCTTTTGTTTGACGTTTTGTAATTGTCACAATATATGCAATTATAAAGACATTAAATTACTTCATAAGTTTTACCGCGTATTTATTTGTCATGCTATTTTCTACGCATTTAAGCAAGGCGGTGTAAGTTGTTGAATTAATAAATAATAAAAATAACCAATCGACATTATTAATTAATGGTATAATTTATGAAAACTTCTCACTGTTATTAAATAATGCTACTAAATATTAATGCTAATTATATAATTGTATTAATACTTACTGCTGCTAATCAATAAATAAAAATTATCGAAAGAATAAATTTATGTACAAGGGGGATTAATGTAATGGATTAAAAAAAAAAATTCACGAATGAAATAGTACATTTTTATGAAAAGTCTCATCAGTCACTTACCATTTCCGCTAAGACTGGCAAAATAATATTCGCCACAGCAACATTTGATGTCAGTTCTGTCCCCGTCTCAGCAAATACACAAACAATGAATAATATCCAAATTGGACTCATACTCTTAAGTCCAATTAAGGCATGACCCAACATACTGGATAATCCGGACGATTGACTACCAGCCGCGATGGCAAATCCTCCACCAAGTACGAATATTAAGCCCCAGTGCATCTTTTGGTTGATTATTTTCCAACCTATCAATCCTGACGAGGATTTACGTGGTCGCTTGGTAGGATCTTTGTCGAAGGCGTGAAGGAAATCTAACTTTTCCGGCAATAAAAAGAGGAGTATTATTAAGCCGGCGGCTGAAGTTGAATCCTTGACAGCTCTGCAAATGCAAAGTTAATTGTCGTATTTAGACTTTAAATGGTTTCCACAACGTACAAATATTCGATTACTAAGGTTATTTAATTATTTTGTCGTTGAGGAATACTACGAAGTGCTCTCAATAATATTCACAATTGAATAAATTCGAACTTACAAATCTGTAATATAACTAGGCCATCCTGGAATGAAATCCGGTTTCCGAAAGAACCATAACAGAACTATACTGATGAATAAGAATCCAATGGACGATTCATGCCAAGTTATTGGCCCTAATTCTTTGTATTTATTTTCTATAACTGCAGTAGCTATTTTTTCGCCTTCGTCGCCGATGTCTATAGCCTTTGCGTCATTACTGTTAGACCTAAATAGCCCCATGTACATGATTTGTAGCCATAACCATGTCAATCCACCCATTATAACCATCACCGGCACTGCATAAACCATCCACGCAGCAAAATTTATGCCTGGACTCTTGGTAAAACGTCTGCAAATAAAATTAATAGTTTCTCGATAGCATAGAAAATAATGATTTTCGTATTGAGTTAAAGCATATTGAAATAATAATGAACTTACGATTCGTAAATTCCTTTCATAGTAAGGTTCGTACCAGTCCCAACGAGAGTACCGATACCACCGATACTAGACGCGTAAGCCGCACCAAAGTAGTAAGCCATTGTCAACTTGGTTGGCTTCTTTTGGCTATTAATAAACATCTATTAATATCATTTTCTCATGGATTTAATTTCTTTATTATAAAAATAAATTGTAATAAGTGTAATTTGTGTAAGCCTACCTTTCACAATCATCTTCTGAATCTTCAATCTTAACAAACATTTTACCCAATCCTTGCTACAAGTAAAATGTAACATTTAATATTTTATATCCTAAATTTAGAAAAAATTATAGGAACTAATAAGAAATTAGATAAATGTATTATTTATCTATTACATTTAACATTAATAAATAATTCATAATCAAATAACAATATTCGAAAATATAAATATTAATAAATAAATACCGCTTCCAATTCTGTAAGAACTTTTTCCACAATTGGTATCATCATTGCTGTCGCTGCAGTGTTAGAAATCCACATTGATATGAACATGGTAACAAAAAACAAACCCAGGCTTAATCTGGAAAATTATAACAGTAATTACCAAGCACAGATAAATATCTTGTTATAAAAAAAATTAACTGAATTGTCATTTGATTCATAAGACATAATCTTCATATAATACAATAATTCTAAATAATTATGCAATATGCATTATATTTATTAAAACATCTATAATAGTTTACAATACTTTAATTTATTTGTTTTTGTATTTAATTAATTTCAATACTCATAAAATATATTCCAAATTGCATCTAGATTTTATTTTTCTAAAAAATTTTAATAATAATACTTTTGTTTAAAAAAAAACTTTTTTTTCTACTTTAACACTATTTACCGATTATAAATAATACGATTATGTATCTAAAAATGCATATTAATCTTTTGTAACAATATAAACATAGAGAAATAGTGAAGATTTAATTTCATGGCTTTAGTTTTTAATTATAAATTTTGTATGAAATACATAGTTCGATAAGTACAATAAAAATAAAGTAAATAAAAATGAATAGTTTTTTTATTACATTAAAATTATTTAGAAAATATGTACAAAAAAAAAAATGAAATTATAAATAAATCATTATGTACTTTATTTACTCTTTTCTTTTTAAATAAAAGTAATTTTTAATTTACAATAATTTAAGTCTAAAACTATCAATTTGGATTACTTTCTTTAAAAATTATTATTATAAGAAATATATTAAATTTTTTATTGACAAAATAGGTGACAAAATATTTGCTCAAATTTGTACCTATGGTGGTCTTTAATTTTTTATTATAAATGATTTATATAGTTTTTTAAAGTATTTCTAATTCACTTAGAACAGAAGTTTTTACATCTTTTTTCAAAGCCCTAATTATCCAGTAATTTTTAGAATAAAATCATCATATTTCATCTTTAAAAATTTAAATAAAGATGAAATATTTTGAAAAATCTGAATTATTCAAATTAATTTGATTTTATTTGTTTAATTAATAACAAATATTTAATAATAATTCACGCTATTTGAATGTTAATTGCATACCTTTTATTATCCCTTATCATATAGTGTATAATAGAAGTATATACGTGTATATTTATCATTGTGTACATTTATAATATAAGAATAGTGTAATGATATAATTTTGAAAGCATAATTATAAAGCCTTAAAGGATAAATGTATGGGAAAAATCGTATAGGCAATAAAGAAAATTTATGGTAACTTCAGATTTAGATAATATTACTGTATCTCAGGTACAAATGTTATTTTGAATTAATTTTTATATAATTATAATCTATTGATGTTTTATTTTTATTATTCTATGATTAAAAATAATGAAAAGTGCCGTATAGATTTAAAGTTAATAAAGTATTTATAAGTATTTATAAGTATTTAGACGTTTGCTATACAAATTAAATATTTATAAAAATATTGTTTAATAATAATGGTTTTTATAAAATTAAATTTTAATTCCATAATTAAGCAAAATGTTAATATTAGTAATAAGTATATGTATTGTAATTTATTTGCAAATTTGTAATATTGAGTAACCGAAATGTTTTATATCTACTGTACTAATATATCTACACAATAATTTTGTAATAGAATTTAAAAATTAATATATCCAAAAATAGATAAAGAAATTATTCATAAATAATTTTACTAATATACTATTTTTTAATTTGCCTTAAATAATAGTAGCTTGCATATATGCATTAATTCCATATGATTTTTCTAATATTATTTTTTATATACATTTTATAACCCAAAAATAATGTATTACAATAAATTATACATTTATTTGGTAAATTATATCGAAAGACACGTTGAGTTGAAAAGTCTGTGTTTTTTTTTTTTTTTTTTTTAATGAGTAATAAATATGCCTAATTCTTGCAATATTTAAAAAATATATAGTATTTAATACAATGTTAAATTAAAAGTTTTTCTTGTTGGTTTCGATATTTACAATATTTAAGAATGAAATTGTAAAACATATATATATATATATATATATATATATATATATATATATATACACGTTATAAATAATGCAAGTATTAAAGCTTATCATGGATTCTATAAAAGTGATGCTTGCAATCGAGAAAGTGACTGTTGCATAGATGCAGTCTAGAAATTAGATCTATTACGCACGCGTGTTTGCGCACTAGCACATACTTTCGATGACTGCAACCAATAGTCTTGATAATAATGAGTGCCACTCTCATGTGGAGTCCAGAATGCTCGATCGCGACGGCTATCACAAGACTTCCTAAAAACATCATCGTCGTGTCGTTCATGTAACAATTACATGTGTGTGCCGTATCCATAATACCCATAAGCGGGTAAAGAAATACTGGAAAGAGTCCAGTAATGGGCAATGGTATAACTTCCGTCACCCAAAACATTGCCATCACAGCAATCGTGTATAGGCATCGGTACATCTATAAAATATGAGCTTTTATTTACAGTTATCTATATTGCAGCTTTATTAAACAATGTCATAACTAGGAAAAAATTTAAAGAAAGCATCTTTTTTAGGACAAGGTGGATCTCGAAAATGAATCGATAATTTATTATATCTAAGATTAATTAAATGCTAGAAAATTGCTATATATTTTCGAGTATAATGATGCTTTATTTTTCAAAATTCGTAAGAACATTATTTCACAAAATTCAGCTTTCTGCATTATCGTATTACAGTTTTTAATTCTAAGTCGTTATTATAAATTAGTATAAAAACTTGTTATAATATCTAATAATAATATTTAAAAAAAAAAATCTTATACTGGTATCAGTTATTGTCTTTTATATCTAAAATACATTTATTTTATAGGATATATTACTAGGAATATTCAAATTTAAGTTTAATCTTGAAATAATATCAAGTGGATACAATTAGAACAATGTAATTTTGCAAGAAAATGTTTTTTAAACGCTCTTCTTTATAAAAATTATTTATTACATTAAAATAAAACATTGTCATGGAATGTATAATTATTTACATCAATTTTCGATAATGAAAATAACAATGAATTTGTTCGTATTTTTCAATAATAATTTTTAATAAATAATTTAAACGAAAATTGTATTTTACATTTTTCTTAAATGCTACAATTTTATTTTAACATTCAAAAACTTACATAATTTATTCAAATAGTTATTTAATTCTTTAATTATTTTAGGTAAACCCAAACATAAAAGATCTTTTTATATATTGATCTCAAATCCTTATATTCGCAATTTTTTATCACTCATTTTTACACTTTATATTACTCTTTTACAATAATATTAAATATTATTGAAAGGCTTTTAAATTTATTACTTTACCTTTTTTCCAATAAGCTTCTACATCAATTTTAAAATTAAGTAATGCAACTAAATAATAGTTGCTCACTAGGAACACGAACAATAAATTTATCTTAATATTAAAGGAGTTTTCCAATTGAATATATCCTATAATTTTAAATTTACTTTAGACATTTGTTTTAAATGGAACAAGACTGATATATTTATAAAATAATTTATATCAGAACTAATAGACATATTGTGTGGTATTATGCACCCTTTATGTATTTAAATACAGATAAAATTATAAAAAGTAAAAAGTATAAAGGGCAAAAAAAATTGGAAAGTAATAATTAATCAAGTATTAATTAATATTAATAAAATTGATTATTATTATTTTTTTTTCTTTTTTTTTTTTTTTTAATTAACATCCTATAATAGAGCAATATAATAGTTTAAAATCTTAATAACAAAATCTTAATAAAATCGTAATATATTAATAAATGTTTAAATAACCTTGTCATTGCTAAAAATTATTAAAGGAAGAAGAACAATCGGCCAAAGTACAACGATAAATGATTTCCAATAAATCGAAAGAAAATTGCAGAGCAGTGTACAAAAGCTCGTATTTTTAACTTTTGAATTAGTATTGTCATTTTCCAACGAGTTCCTGAAAAAACAAATATTATTTTTAAGGTTAATTTATTTACACTAAATTTTAAAATATAGAAATTCTATTTTGTTTGAAAATATAAAGGATTTATCATGAATTTACAATTCATCAAATGAATCAATTGTTATTGTATAAGTAAACAATATATATTTTCAATCGATTGATTACCTGACGTTTTCATCTTTCACTGGCATACAAGTATTGTTTGTTATTATTACGATAAATACAATTTATACAAATATACAATACTCGAAATTATAAACAATCTATCAATTTTATGTCGAGCTCTAAAAAAAAACTATTATTTTACACAAATAAATCCGCTAACATTGACATATCCAATTAATAAAATGCTCAATGATTATAATAAATTTTAATTAATTATTAAATATATAATTATTGGAATTGAAAATTGATTCACATGTATTTTTGTAAAATTTTAACGTGAAAGTGGGAAGAAATTGATTCTATTCTCGCAAATCAATTGTAAATAATAAAATCAATAAATATTATACTTTACATGTACGAAGTACCATATAGAACATTGACACGAAGCAATAAAAAATTTCTTTTTTAAATTTATTATTTGTAAAGGTTTTGCATAGAAGGATCGAATTTTCTTAAATTTCTTGTCTATATTTTAATTAAATAATACAATTATAAGATAATTATAAGGTAATATTAATTCATTTAGTTTGAATTTTTTAAATTGTTGTTAAAAGTTTATATAAAAATGTACTATTATATCAATTTATCAAAATATCCAAATTATGCACATCAATATCAATTTGTCAATCCTAAAATGTTCTTAACATGAAAATTACGTTTTTCATTTTTATTATCGTAACTATAATTTCACTTTTTTTTATAATAAAATGTTCGTCATAAATTTATGTTAAATTAACCACAAAGATATATTAATTATAGATAGTTATAATTTCTTTAATTCTTTATATTTAAATTCAATTGATTGGCGCGTATTATCATGCATGTCACAATTTTATTATTTAGCTGATAATAATTTAGAGGTAAAAATTTCAAGTAAATAGAATTCTATAAACGTCATTAAACATGTGTCACAAATATTAATTTACGCAGTTATCATTCTAATCTTATATAAATATAAATATAGTAGGAATTATCAAGTTCAATATACATATTCTTGAAATTTTTTTTCAGATGAAAAAAATTAGTAAATAAGTAATAAGTAAAGTAAAGTCTGAACTTATTTAATTTCAAATAAAAAAAAAACAAAAAAAAACAACACGGATCAGTCCTTTTATTGTAAAATAATTTATAATAATGATCGCACTTATACATTTTCATTATGCTCACGTTAATATACATTCGACTGGTATTAAATGTCTGTCTGAACAATTTAACTTTCATAAATTTTTTAAACATTTACAACATTTCTCAGATATGAGTATAATACACGTTAATTACTTTTTTTTTTTAATTAAAACAGTTTAATACGTAATCTTGGTGGTTATAAATAAATTAGATAACAAACAATTCTTTTAAAGAAGTATTAATTTACATTTTATAATTTTAAAAATTAAAATTGTGTATTCATATTAATTTATCCTTATTTATAATTGTATGCAACAATTTATTATGTTCAAAAGATAGCACAAAATAATAAGTAATGATCTTGTTTACTTTTGTTTATAATATGCAAAAGTGTAATAAAATTAAAAAATGATTGTAAAAAGTATATTATTGATTAGGAATATTAAAAAGCTTTTGCATACTCTGTCCTTCCTTGTCTCTATTTTCTTTATCTTTTATTCTTCCGTACATGTATTATTTATTTTAACTTTAATTTTTTTGTTTGAAATCCAATTTAATTTATTTATATAGATTATTTATTTATTTTTTTTTTTTTGTTTAAATTACAACTTTTTAAAACTATATGTATTATGCTTTATTAAATCAGAGTATTAAATATATTTCATTATTAACAAAACATTGTTTGTAAAATTACAAAAGTTATGCAATGAACAGATTTTCAATATCTTTATCATTTTTATAATTTATACATTTTCTTTATGTATACTTACACTTCTTTGAAATTTTTTTAATAACAAAATTTTAATTCATTCATAAACTCATAAATCTAATATTAAGTAAATTTCTCAACTCAGCTATTATCATAACCGAAACTATAATAATTATTTTCGATAAGTAGTACGTATCCTTGCAAGCATACCCATGTACAAATTCTCACACACTCATATATATATATATATATATATATATATGTATATATAAAATATATACATATATATATGTATATATAATGTTTTATAAGATAAATATGATATTATAATAAATATATAAGCTGTAAAATAATATTAAAATTTTATACAAGTATTTCGAGTAGATTTGTTGAATATAATCTTAACACTATAAGCTAATCAAGTAGATAAAACTTTAAAAAAAGATTGTTGATGAAAATGTAGAAGATGTTAAGAATAACTATTTCACGTTTATTCCTGTTTTAGCTGAAATGTTTTTATTTATAAATTATAATATGTTTATATTGTATTATTATTATAATTTTATGCTAATTGTATATTAATGTATTTGTAGGAATTTCAATATACAATATTTAGAATGAATATGAAGTTTGCAATATGGATGTCAAACTTAAATGAAGCGTTTTAAAATAAAATTTTTTAAATATGAAATTTCATAATTGTTTATATTAAGAGATCAAAATTAAGATTATACTTAGAAAAATGTTTTATCATTAGACGAAAATTTATTATTGTTGCAAAAATTAAAATTTATTGATATTTTAACTCGCTATTGTCAGGATAATGTAATTTAATCATAAATAATGAAAAATAAATAAGAAAAATAAAAATGATACAAACCTCTTCACGTTTGACTCGATGTCCAGAGAATTACTGTTCAGCGTTTTCGAGGCCATTCTGTTCTTGAAATTCTTTCAAATAGTTATGATCGGTTGACTCGGCTGTAGCCGATCGCTGCATCAAAGGCAGAAAAGGAAGTAATAAGATGAAAGTATATTTATTTTCCACTTTGACTTTTCATTTTTATATTTTTACGTCAATAATCAGTCGGAAAATCATGAATGTCGAGAATGAGGGACGAGTAGTGCGAATAGCGTTAATGAACTTGTCACGATGAAAGTCAACGAACGTTTATGTACAGAAATTCTCGGTACGCTCGCTAACAATAGAAGAAAAACCACCTTTCTTTTTCTCTTAGTACGTCTGTCTTTTTGTATCTCTTATTCTCTTTTATTCTCTCTCTTAGTATGATGATGATTCAACACTTTGTTAAGTTTCGGTGTTATGTGCAAGTCGAGCATGTACTCGTGTAATTTTAATTTGATTGCCCTGATTTTTTTTTCTCATGGTATCCGCTAATAATTACTCATTGGCTCCGTATTAAAATAATTATAAAACTCTCGTTTATTCATGTTGGGGTGATTTTATGAGTAAGTTTTATATTACATAAAAAAAAAAAAAATATTAAATCTCCAGATGTATACAAATGCAGGCATTTATTCGGTTATAATTAAGTATATCATTTTTATTATTTTATTCTTAAAATGGATTGGATAGAAAATACAATTATCTTCTTTTGTAATGGCACTACCGTATGTGTCCTAAACAATGATTTTTACGGCTGCATTTTTTTACAAGTATTATCGCGATCAAACTTTTCAATTTTGTTTTAAACACGAATTGCAATATTACTTTTAAACATTTCAATATTTGATATTGAACAAAAAAAAAATTTGAAGTTCTTTATATTATAGACCGAGTATTTAATATATACATGCAAATATTGAAAAATAAACCAGTAATGTATTAAATAATATTATCTGTATTATTATGAGGATGTATTTATGTTTAAATTTTAAATATTGCTATTGCATTTGTTTGCAAACTTGGCGACTCATAATGATAAATATAATCTTAATATAATTAGTATAAACTTTTTATCGTGTTAGCATAATATGAATTACTTAACTGTATAAATATTGATTATGTTCGGCTTTATTATCATAATACAAAATCATGAAAATGTTTAATCATTACTATTGCATATTTTTTTAATTGGTGTAGATTTAGTTCGATGTGAAAGAAAAATAAGAGACCAATATTATACAAATATTCATTTGAAAGACTTCTAACGATATCTATCAATTTCCTCATAAATTGATATTAAATTATTATTTTCTACTTAAAATACTCCCACAGTTATATACAGAAAAATTACATCAGCTGTCTATGTAGCACGAGTTACTTATAATATTTTCTAAATTACTATAAAATGTGATGCATTAAACAAAAAAATTATTCATAAAAATATGTACAATAGAATTTCATTCGATTATCTACTTGTTGATGTTTATTTTTTACTTTGTAAGATAACATTGAAAATTCTAATTTAAATATAGCAAATAAATTTTCTTTACAAATTATTTTTGCATCTTATATCGACAAATTAATAAAAACGCAAAAATCATTTATGGTTAATTACATTATTTCTTTCAAGCCCGTTTGCAATAACCCATTAGTGCTTAAAACGTCTCAATCTCACGGCAAATTAACCGCATTTTAGATGCTACGATAGCATAAATACTACGGATTTTAATTTCGATCATGTAGGATCGCTCACTTGGTTTCCGTGCCCTGAATTCTCAAGCACATCGTATCCTTCAACTCTCGTCGAACCTTGATGCAATTTAACAATCGAGCGAGCAATACGTAATTTCGACAGACGTTAATTATTATCCATCGAGTACGAAATGATATTGGAATCACTTTAATGGCAAATTATTGAAAGTACGCGTTTTGCTTTTGTATTGTTTTTTATTTTTTGTTTTTGCGTAGAAGCGCCTATCTTTTTCTTTCTTTATTTTTAATTTTACGATCGATTATTCTTCGGTTTTTGGGCGCGACGAGCATACCCCGAAATCTCAGACGGTTTCATTGGCGAATACCTTAATCACACCGTACGTTCCAATTATATTGCAACGAAAGATTTAGATTTACAAAGTAAAATAAACATATATTGCTTTAATTCAATGTGAATATTTTTATGTTAAGAATATTAGGTAAATAATGTAATCGATGTTGATTTTAACTATTGTAAAAACTACTTATAAAAATCAATACATGTAGTCGAATAATCAAGGAATTTATCGTATCAATATTAATTGTTGTAATCCGTCATTTATATCGATCGTAAGATTTCATTCCTTTACCAATGATAAATAATATTTTTTAATATTGAATATAAAAATTAAGTAGGCTTTAATGTTTAAAATTGTATCTAATACAAAGGAGTCTATCTGGAACGCAAAGTTGTTACGCACAATTAAAACATTGCCAAGATGTAGGGCGATAAAAATCTAAGTTTATCAAAGGCATATAATATAAAGTTTGTTGGAGTAAGTAGACGAAATACACCATGTAATATGTATGACACGTGTTCACCACGTGTTTAGGGCACAATCTTTGAATTTTGAAATCTGTCCTCATATTTTGGAAAAGTTATAATTTAAAACGAGAGGTTTGCATTGCGCGACTAGCTTTTAATAACATAATTATGCAATAATTATATATATATATATATATATATATATATATATACAAAAACAAAAACAAAAAAAAAAACAAAAAAAAAAACAAAAAAAGGAAGAATAAAAATGATATATTCTATGAGTTAGAATAGAAGGTCTTATATCGTGAACAATGCCAATACAAAATGGAATATTTATAGAATGTGAAAGAACGCTACTTAGATTATTAACCAGGGCACGATCCATCAAAACGTATGCAGATAAGCAAAACTAGCATCCACGAGGTATTCAAATAATCTGAAACGAATCATCACGGATGAAAATCGAATTACCTTCATTCCCGCGTTAAACTGTTCACAACACTGTTGCAACTGGCGTCGCCACTATAGCTCTTTGAGATTCGGGATAACCGGGTGAACATTATATTATGCACGAGTCACTGGAATAACCGACACATCCCCACGTGATCGCAGAATTATAAGTAAAAACACCCACGGAAAAATAGAGCGAGCATGAGAGAGAGAGAGAGAGAGAGAGAGAGAGAGTGAGTGTAAGAAAGAGTGCGAGTGCACGCTGCTCGCTCGACTGCAGTCGGCCAATGCATCGCCGATGAAGACATACACTGAGGATCTCGTCTGCATCCCCTCCTCGGGCGCCGTAATACCCGAGGGGTGCGGCGTTCAATGGCCGGGTGGGGGGGGCGATGCTCGCGGGGCCCGTTAGTCCCTGGCCCTACTCGAATCCGAGAGGTGGGATTGCGCGAGGACGCTAGCTAGTACGATGCGCAAGTTGCTCATTGTTGCGCTAAGATGCGCAACCGTAGCTTGATGATACCACAGATTTTTTTAGATTGGAGTACTCGGGATGCATTTCAAAAGGATTACCAACGTTTAGGATTGATGATAATAGATGGATTGGATGCATTGGAGCTTCGACGTGAAACGATGAATGATGAAATGAATAGTAAAATAAAATCCGGTGGTATCCGTTGGTTTTCAATAATCTGAAAATAAATGTATCACGGAGTAATGTTACATTATGTTTTGTTAAATAACGATTGCCGTTAAGATTTTGTTAAAGCTTTTACATAAAATGAATTATTAGCGAAACTGATTTGAACCGGTGTTGCGATAAGCGTAAATGCCCGAAAGAAAAGGAACGCAAGTTTATTGTCGAATCGACTGTTTCTATTTTTTCGTTATGATATTACCAATCGCAGATAAAAAATTTACTTGCAAATTTACTTTTGGCCTTGCATTGATTTTTTCTTTAACATTACGATACATCGCTCCATCTTTACTAACGGAATAATGTACTTGCATCACAATTTTTTTTTTCCTTACTGCTTACCAGCGCAATAATTGCCAAACATAATAAAAGGTTTGAATGATATTGCTGTAATAACATCGATACTTAGCTTTATCATTACACCCATTTCAGGCTTATTTACATTAATTGATATATTTCAATTGATAATACTTACTGATGCTTCCATTAGAATTATTTATTAAAATTAAAATTAAAATTGAAAATATTTGTGTGTGTGTGTGTGTGTGTGTGTGTGTCCATAGATAGAGAACGGCACTATGATATATAATGTTAAACGTGCCACGTCGAACATATTAAATATTTATTGAAAATAAATCGATAGCTACAATAATATTGATAATGATTAATCATTCAGATATTCCTCGATAAATAATTAATATTAATTAACATACCGCCAGTGAAAATCTTAAATTTATCTTATAACTGATAATTAATTTACATTAGTTCTAGTACTATTAACATTAACATATTTGAAATAAATAAAACTATATGCAAACAAATACTATATTTTGATCATCCGAATAATCTAAAAATCAATTATTTATATGAATTATTAATATAATTATGAATATTTTCTGAAATTAATCACTAACTAATGTGATCGCTTCGTAACTACCATATAATCATAATTAAGGAGATCTTAATCAACTTTAATTTCAATTACATCTTTTAGCAATACATATGTACCTTGAAAATTATTATGATAAAGTTGTTCATTATTTTTGCATAATTAAAGAAAATCTTAAAATCATAACTTTATTATTAGAGTATCGAATATGACATTATATTGTGAAAGACGTAACAATTCTTTTTAAGATGGAAAATCGACATATTACGTATTTGTGTCAAATTTACTCATAACTTTGTTGTTATTTACTTAAAAACAATGTGTTTCATTATCGATTTTTTTCACGATGTTACACTTATTACGTCAATTATTCATTTCATTCAAATACTCAAATGTATTCAAATGCTTTCAAACAGTTGGATTATCCATTCATTTCGTTCATTATATTTTCATTTGCACAACAATTACAATCATTGTTACATAAAAATGTTAATAGTAATTTAGACTATTTTTGTAAAAAAATTGTTCATTCACTGTTTAACAATTCTAAATAATAAATTAATTATTATACACCGACAAGGATTTAAATTAATTTTACTTTATATAATGTATGAATAAATTATCTTTTATTCTAATTACAGGAAAATATTTAATTAAATAAAAAAATTAATTGTCACGTGCTTAGAAAAATATGGCGAAAAGTAATATTTACCTAATTCTACTAAATACAATCAAGAAAATAATTTATTTTTTAATTATAAAAAAAAACAAAATTTAATTAAATGAATTGCAAAAATTATTATTCTGAACAGAAAATAAATAACAACGGAATGAAATAAATGTGCAAAGTCGATTATTTTACGTATCCTAACACTAATTAAATTTCTACTTGAATTCATTATTTTTGTTAATGATAAAATACAATAACTCAATTAATTTTTTAAGTTATGATTACATTACTACATAATTACATTTTATTTATAATCTTAGAGATTATCTAATAATTCTTATAAATAAATTTTTTTTTTATTAATATTCAAAGTTTAATTTGTTTTTATACTGCTATTACAAGAAAATAAGAGAATAAGAAAATAAGAAACACTTTATCTCAAAATGGAATCGTGTCTTATGTTAAATATTGCATTATATAACTTTATATTACGTAGAAAATACTTTATTCACTACGGCATTATTATAAAGATATATCTATAAAGGAAAAAAAGTATCAATGATTTTTATATCGTATATTCTCGTAAAAATTTTATATACTAATTGTTACGAACAAAGCATTGTACACATGGAAAAAGATTTTTTTTATTTACTAATTATGAAATTCAATATTAATCTATATTTAATTAATAGCAGGATTGGCTTCATTTTTAATAAATATTGCGTTACATTTTATGTTTATCAGAAATAAATATCAATTGGAGTACCCATGTTTAGATATTTATAGTATCGAATTTGGCAATTAAAATTTTATTTTATGTGTGTGCATATGTATGTATACATACATTGTCATATTACCAATTATAGTAGTATGTAGGTATTTCATTGAGTAAAAATAAATACATCCCGATATTAAATCCTTAAAATCACATAAAAGTGAAATATTGTGTGTATGAAAATTATTAGCTCCCTTCATTATAGATGAAGAATTTACATTTTTTACAAGATTTTAATTTGAATATAAACAGTACAAATACGAGAAATTATAAATATTTTCTGAATATTATTTGATCTCTAAATAATAATAGAATTTGCAAATAAAATAATTTTTCAATTATTTTTACAATCACAGTAAGGAAATTAAAATATTGTGGTATAAAAGCTTTTTCTATAAAGTAAATAACGACGATTCCGTTGTTTTTTTTTTTAAATTTTAATATTATCAATATAATTCAATGTGGCTTTTTGGCATTTTTTTTTTTCAGCTATTGCTTTATATTTCTATTTTTGGCATTAAACTACAATAAATAGCAAGTTCTATAAAACAATCGTAAATCGATAAATAATTAACTCCATACAAACCTTATGTAATTAACGTAATGTTTAAGACGGTCATAGTTCCAAATCCCGTAACGATGTTTCTTAGTATTTAAATGAAACAATAAAGTGTCGATCTATGTTTTGATCGTTTTATTTACGTTAATATTTTTATAGAGATCCATAAATACACAGCCTCGTCGCCATCTCCAGTTTCCCTTCATCAACTCTGTCGCATGTAGAGACAGAAACTGATTGCACTACGAGAAACAATCAAAGGCAGATGCACAATGTATTATTTAAACAGAAGAAATAAATTTAATATTTTTATTATCGTATAGAATATTCACGCTGCTTTAATTATCAAATAATACTTGTTTTAGAAGAAAAGGAAAGAAGGAAATTTGAGAAATGTAAATTTTAATCTTTAAAATATCATTTATACTGATTAGAATAGTATGATATTTTTCTAATGTACATTTGAATAAATACGAATATTTGAAAAGATTAAATGTTGAAGGAAAGCATCTATTTATTAAGGAAATTATTTTGTGACACTAAAAGAAAAAGAAAAAAAAAGAAAGAAAGAAAAAAGTAACTTATTTATAAAATAATAATGTAGCATTGGCATAGTTTCTTCAATAATTAAATATTGCACATTTAAATTTTAAATCAAACCAATAAAAATTGGTGAGCGCCTTATTGCTGAAATAAATATAAATTATAAAGTATTTACACCAAGATGATTAGATTTTTAAATTCATATTTCATGAATTCTTCTTCAGTTTTTAATAATTTTTAACAATAGCATTTTGATATATTCAATATGAAGGTTCGATTTTACCTTCAAACTGCTAAAATTATGCTAAAATTATTATAGATGATAGATTTTAGGTTTCTTTGTATAGTGTAAGTTTAAATCCTATGATTTTATGATCATTTGCCATTTTTAGTCGTAATCCTCGAGCAAAGAGATTTCAATTTTCAAATGTTCGAAAGGAAAGTTAATTTGAACGGCTAAATTCTTGAAAAATTGATGAACTCAAACCAATTTATCTTGACTACCGGCTACTATATATCTCATCGTGAGACAATTACGTTATTGAAATGTCAATTCACTTATCGTAAAAGCGCAGTCAATACTCTCGAATGACTTGCTGCATCTATATAAATGAATGATCTTCATAAAAGATTTTTGGTTTATATATAATTCTAGTACAAGTCCATTCGTACAAGAAAAATCGTTGTTTATCTATATACAAACATTGTCATTCGTAAGATTTCGACTTACCGCAGTTATAATTATAATAAAACTCACATTGTATCTTCAGCATAACATTTACTTTTTAAGTATTGTAAATAACTTTTGTTGTATGTAGATCATTCATGAATGCACAGTGGAACAATCGGTTTCATTCTTTAATATGTAACACTTGTACATACGATTATAGATTACATATTAAGGATGTTTGCGTAATATCCTCTGCATTTTCTTCTTCTCGTTCTCGCTCTTTAATTGTAACATCAGAGAGATGGGCTGCGACTTGTGATTACATAAGATATTGAGAACGATGCGAATCAATCGATCGATCAGATTGATTCATTGTAATGCTGACATCGGATGTCGTTCTTAGATTACACTGTCGGGCTTTGTTTTTTCTTTATTCTTTTTCTTTTTTCTTTTTTTCTTTTCTTTTTTTTTTTTTTTTTTTTTTTTTTTTTACTTATGAACGGCAATCCAGAACGAACTCTAATATGTACACATGATTTTCGCTTTTTATTCGTATGCAAGTGTACGCTGAGGTTAATTGGTACGTCTGATTTATGTTTGCATGAAGAATAAAAGGGTTATTTCTTAGCATTTGAGACTATTCTTATTTCATTCGATTAGGTAAGTTTTATGATTTTACAATCTTCTCTGAAAATTTTTACTATACACTTTATTGATTTAATGCAGTACTTCCTCGGCATACATTAATTAAAAAAAAAAACAAAAAAAAACAAAAAAATAAATAAATAAATAAAAAAAATCGTTTCACTTTAAAGCTAAACTATTAACATAAAGTAAAAATAATTTAGGTTTTTAATAATAAAAGTTATTTTCATTTTATTCAATGACTAAAAACAGTTTGCCTAATTGAACATATATTCCTAGAAATAATAAGATATTTTATGTCTTGGCTTAAAAGCGTAACTTATGTACGTAAATATAACTCGACGTACTAGTATTCAATATGCCTGCAAAATGTAGTTACTTAAATAAATTTCTATAATTTTGTTTATTTACGTATTATTTACGTAGTAAAAATAATAAGAAAAATTTAAGTTATCAATGGACATTCTTTTAATCCTATAATATTAACATAGAATATTTTGTCTTTTTTCTCATATATCAATATCCAGTAACGCAGTACTTAATGTATATTAGTTAAGTGATTAATAATTTTGGCAAAATATTGAATCTATAATAAGCAATATGATATTTTCTTAAATAATATAATTTCTTTCTTTTTTTTTTTTTTTTTTGTTAAATTAAAAATTGAATATGCTCGTATGATTGTACAATGAGTGTACATTGAAAAAAAGTACTTTATTTCAAATGAATTACTCTTACGCTTAAAATGGCCAATTTAATCAAATGATATATTTAAAAGCTCGATATATTTAAACTTTATTGATAATACCGACGGACGTCTAAATTTCAGAGAGTAATACGTTAAATAGCCTTGCATGATCTTGTCCATGAAAAACATAAGTGCACTAAATGGATTCTTTTGAAACTCTTTTTTTTTTTTTTTTTTTTTTTCTGTTATGATTATTTATTTTTATTATTATTTTCTTCTTTTGTATTGTATCTCTAGGATAAATACCATACATTATTTAAGTTATATTTAAGAGCATTTTTGTAATTATTGAAACTCTAATCTATTATTACCTTGACGTCTTAATTTGTTCAACTCGCCAATTCAGTTATTTTGTAAATGTTGACTACAATTAAGTTTTCATAATGACACCTTAGATTATTTAAGTTGGCGATATGAATATAGATGTAATACAAAAAGATTATATACTAATAATCCCACATTTAACAGATGTTTTTCATCAATGTTTAGACAAATGTGAGTCTCTACATCGTCATTATATGTATAGCTATGATTTATCACAAAACATATTACTTTTATTATCTTGACGATATCTGGTATTTCACGCAACCACTACACATCTTAAATATCATCTTATTGATGTAGGAACCCCGTAACAGGGTTACGTCAATCACTATCATTGGTCTCAATTCTGTATACTTTTACCGTGATTCGTAAATTATTAAAATCTTGATAAATATTAAGCATCTCCCAGTAATACTATTTCTTCTTAAAATTTATTAGATTTTCTTCTCAAAAGAAAAATACATTATCTTTCGTTTATGGTAGAATAAGAAAATCACACGTACTTATCACAATCGTAAAATTTATTGCTGCTTTAGATTATACTTTTATATTACAAGCAATTAATTTTACGAAAAATATAAAGTAACTGTTATCTAGACACATATTAAAACAAATTTAAATTATTGTTATCTATGGGCTAAGTTATACTAATTATGAAAATAAACAACAAAATTACTAAACTTTGATAAATATCGTGTTGTTTTGAAGGGAACATTAATTATCAATCAAATGATCAATACAAATGTTTTTTCATTGTGCTTATAAATTATTCCAACGAGTGAATTCTCAATTTTAAAAAACAATAATACATTTGAAGATATTGTTATTTAAATGTATTTGTATTTAAAGAAAAAATTATATTCCTTCATTAAAATGCATAATTAGATTCATCACTTTTGTATAAAAGTATTTTCATGTAAATTTCTATGCTCAAATAAGTACATATAAATTATAATTAAATCTTAAACATTACATTTAATTATATTAAATATATACTAAATTTTTTAATTTATAAAATATTTTATACGTACTCCGGAATACTCGAAATTAATATTAATTGTAAATAAAATAATTTATGCCATTAATGTATTGAGCAATATTTTCTGTACTTTTAACAACAATAATAAAATTTTTACTATGTTGAAGAATTTAAATGTAATAATCGATCGATTTATCAACTGATTTTTTCTTTACGTAGATTTTTTAATTACTTTGTATTGCACATTGGAAATATAGTTTAAATAAAGGAATTAATATTTATTTTTTTTTTAAACATGATTTTGAATTCTTTTATATATTAACCAATTTGGCTTTGGTTATTAATTTATTATAATAATATGCACATTTACTTTACGTAAGTGATATTTTTTACCAATGTAGATTTATGTTATATTTATATACTATAAATGCTATTAATTATTTATGTATTACTTAAGAGTAAAATATGCATTATACTTAAAGCATAAATGTGTTCATAAACGCACTAAATTAATTCAAGTAAATTTTTTGGTTCGTTATTTTAACAATATGTATTTTTTTTTTGATAATTAATGCTATAATAATTTTCTGATTTCTCTCGTAGCATATTAATTTTTTGAAAAGAAGCCTTGCATATACTAAAAATATTTTAGCTGATATTAAATTATGCTTGAATTATTATCGATATTTGAGTAATATATTTGTACTTAAAAAGCCGTATATATGATAATATATTATAAATATAATGTGTTATTTATCGTATATATATATATATATATATATTGTACTATCACGATATATTGTATACTATAAATTCATTGGATACATCGTGTAACATAACGATAATTTAATGTAATTTATAAGTTTGAATATTGTAAGAATAAATTTCATCTATTAAATATAATTATCGCCACTTATAAAATAATACAATAAATTGCCTATTAAAAAAATTAAAATTCGGTCCGAAGGATGGAAAATTTTCTTCAACGAACATTATTTAATGGGGCTATATAAATAAAAACAAAAATATATTAAATTTGAAAATCATTATTATTAGGCATCTAATTTTATTTTGAGAATTTAAATAATAATTCTCAATTCTTTAAGTGTTATGTTACATTAAACCCGTACACTTAATAAAATGTATACATTTTCACAAAAACAGTAAGAACTTAATTTAATGAGTAAGAATTTAGATATTTTATTATAATTGAAAAATAAGGAAAATTGTAAAAAAAAAAAAAAAAAAAAAAAACTTTACAAAAAATTTTCCTAAAAAAAAAAAAAAAAAACTTTACTAAAAATTTTCCTTAATGATCGGTAATTATATATTTAATTGCATATGGCAAGTTTCTGCAATTATGAAAGATTGTAATATACGTGAATCAACCAAGATGTATTATCATTCTATTAATTAATTTAAAAAGATATTTTTAATTTATTAAGAAGGAAGAGTAATCTTTTATAATTATGATTAATTAAAATGGTAATTAATAGTGCTCAATGCATAAAGAAATCGAACAACTAATATTCTCAGTGCACATGTTTATCGGTAATGCGATTAATATACAGATGTAAAATGTCGCTAGTTCAAAAAATCTTAACATACGTACTCAGAAAAACTTCGGGGGCACCAATAATTTTATATTCACTCACAAATATTAAAAGCGATTGATTTGATAAGATTGCGCGGAGCACGAAGCGACGCTGTATTCTCGCACGAAATAGCGGAAGGCTGAGGACGAAGCGGAAAATGTACACTGGTCAATTCAAAAGCATAATGCCGGCCAAAGATATCGCGAACTCTCTAAACTCCGACTACAAACTGTTGTCGAATTACAAAATGAACGGGCGCGCGCGTACGGCCGTTGAAAAATTGGCGTGTAAGCGCGGCGTGCAGGTAGCAAGCAGCGTCTTTCGCTTCCTTGTTCCATCGTGTAGATTTATCAGGAAATACACGTCGAGCATTTGTATTGGATAATTATATACGTTAAAGATGCCACGAATGACCGTAATGAGACTTTAAGATCTGATAGAGTTCGGGTGAAGAGACGATTATGTCGGTAGGTGCATATACAATGCGCGCGCATACATTTGTAAATGCTTTAGGATGCATTACGGGAGATTCTTTGGCAGTGGGGCGTATTTTTCGAATATTTTACGATGCATTTCGTAAACCTCTTGTTTCTCGAACTCATTAAAAGATTCATGAAAATATATTTGATATGCCCTTGCATAAATTTTATCTTTAAATTAAAGTAAAGTAAAAGTTAGCCGATTAATGTTCTTTGGTAAAATTTCTATTCAGCGAGTAATAAGAATTCTAGATTTTTTCTTTTACAAAAATTATACGACTTTTAACATTTTGCAATAATTTTTTTTCTTCAATTTCACTGTGTAATATAAACATTGATTATTCTTTTGCAAATATAGACGTAATATCTATATAACCATTTCTATACCTTAAAAGCAAGTAAAATTAAATTATATAAATCATTTTTTAATTTAATTTCTAAATTATAAGTATATATAAATAAATATGTATAAATATTTTCAATTGATTCGATTCAATTATGATTGCCATAATTAAATTTTTAAAAAAGTAATGGAACATTTACAATTTCTTATCCGCACTTCTTATAGACTCCAATCATTTTCTAATTCGAATTAGTAAACTTTTAATAAAAACAGGAAGATTAAATGCATTAACATTCAAAAGATTATAAAAATTGTAAAACATAAAATTTATAGGAAATCATATTGATCATAGATCTCATGTAAATGCTACTTATTTTGTGCTTTAATAAATTAATAATTGCACGAAATTAATGAATATTTTATGTGGTCTACAATATTAAAATTCAAGCAAAGTATTTCAATATTTAACAAATCTATTCTACAAATATTTCACAAATCTTACAGATGTTGTCATTAATAGAACAGACTATGTAGGAATTCAAATAGAACAGGGAGATTTATAAAATACACAGTGAACAACCGTACAAATCTTGTTATCGAGGTCGAGGTGTGCAGTTTTTTTCTACGGATTTTCTTGTCAGTGCTTGTAATAACGATTAAATAGTTGATAAAAACTACGTGAATTATAGTTGAAAATATTTAAAAATTTCTCTCGATTATATTACAATGTTTTTCTTTATAAATATTGCAAACAATATTTAATTATGAAATGTTTACAAAAAATTCATAATTTATATTTTTTATGTGTCAAAAAGTAAAATAACATAAGGATTAATATAGAATGTAGAATAAAGCTTTTTATTAAATAAATTGGCTATTAATTAATTTTGTTAAATGTAAGTTTTAACTTAAATTGCTTGATCAATCATAATTGGACGTTTTTTTAATAATTAAAGAATATTTTTCGATTTGAAAAATCTTTCGAAATTGAATAAAGTAAAAATTTCGTATTATGTATAAACAAATTTAATATACAAACCCAATAAAAATTAAAAAATTTTCAATTTATTATAATACGTTTTTACGAATAGCATCTTGAAAATATATTATAACTTTTTTATAATAAAATAACGTTATGTTGAAGGATTTAACATAGAATGGCACATATTTCATTTTTCAATCAATTAAATAAAATGAAATTGCTTTCCTTTGAGTGACATATAATATAAACAATAAAAAATTTATTTTATCAAGGAATTCATTTCCATGAGAATTTATGAAATTGTTAGAATTTTAAAAAAATCTTAGAATTTGTTATCTCACTTACAATGTCATCTTTACAATTGTACTATCAACTTTGTTCTTCAAAATAAAAATGCAAATTTCTTTGTAACTTCAAAAATAACATTTCACTAAGCTAATTGTATTTCGAATAAATTAAATGGCGCTTTCATAAAGTATTTAATTAATTATTTTTCCTTATTATTAAGAATTACCATATTATTAAAACACTAATACTCATATAATACTATAATCTTTTAAAACATCAATCAACATCACTATTATTCAAATCCTTACAAAGTTACATATTCATGTAATATTAATGATGCTTTGTATAATTTAACGAAAGAAAACAAATTGTTAAACACTTGTAATAATACACTGATTGTTTATCATCTAGATTAAAAACACATTTGATTTTTCATTCAAGTGTTTAAAAGCACTTTGCTTATTAATCAAGCTGCTTTTATGATAATTTGATTAATGTGCCTGCTAATTTTAGGTTGAAAATTAAACTAATAAATATATATACAATAATGTCTAAGTTATTTGGCAAATATTTTACTTAGAAAAATAGTCCAAAATACAGAACTAATGCGTATATGGTTAATATGCGTAATGTATTGTTAATCGTTTGTTAATTAAAAGCTCAGTGAGCTTCTTCTACCTTATTATTTTATATTTTATATCCATATTTTATAAATATTTAGCATATTAAAAAATATCACTATATACATAATTATTTTTAAATAAGAGATGCCAACAATTAAATGGACAAAATATTTTAACCAAACGTTAAAACTAAAATATTGGATACTTCTTTTTTAGTTCTAAAATATTTACTTTTAAAACAATAATACTTCCACATAAAGAATTGAGGACTTACAAACAAACAAAAATTATAAAACTAAAATATAATTTCTTTCGTAAGATTTATAATAAAAATATTTTATTTATATATATTTTAGACTTGTTAAATTATTCATAACAAGCTAATTTTTAGTGTTTATTATTTTTAAATTTTCTTTGACAATACTTGATAATAGTTTATTTACTTATTTAAAAACATATCAATTATACTATTCATAATTACACGAAGAACAAATAGTCCCGCATTAAATTGAATTTGTTGTAGTAACGGCCAACATTATTCAATAAATCTTTGTAATACGGGAATGGATAAGTGAGGTATTTACAAAAATTAATATTATTAATTTGAAATTATAATACAATCAGAAATAAAATCATGCTGCCAAGAATTTGCTTTTAATATTACAATGATATTAAGCTATAACCAATATTATTATATATAGAGTTTTAAATTCCTATATATTTAAATAATAAATAATTAATAATAAATTTTATAAGTTGAAATTATGTTACATTTGCTTTTAAAAATATGCTTAGAAATCTTACCAGTTTCTTACTAAGTAATATTGAAAAAGTTTATGAAGGCGTATTACATGTCTATATATTGTATTTAATAAATCGATAGGGTCGATAAGTCACTCCTTAAATTATAAATCATATTTTATATGATAACGCTATCACTTTTAAATATACACATAGTAATAACAATAATAATATTAACTTTATAAGATGGCAAATAATAAAATAATCGTTTATCTTAATTTAATTTCCCCATGGTTCATATTTTATTTATAAAATACTGGATTTTCAAACACACGCGCATACACACGCGCGCGCGCGCGCGCCCGCTTGTAATAATACAGGCTAATCTGCAAAACAACTAATAAATAAAAACGATGTGAATTTCAGAGAAATGCCGTATATATGCGAGCATTTCGTTCGCTGTACTACTTCTGGGGGTAGGATTACCTCTTTGGTGGGAAACAACGGCGGTGCCGAGAGTCGCGATACCCTATGTCGGCATCCGTGCGCTCGATGACCTGGAGCTGCATATTCATGTACGATTCCTCCTCGGATGCCTCGATACGAAGAATAGCCAACAGCTCGCCGATGAGCTCATGCAACGCTTAATGGACGCCAGATTTGCAGGTAAAAGTAATTTTGGTCTTATGGACTTCGCGATCATTTGGTGAAGCGTGAAACTGCGGAATCAGTGTAATTTCAAACTGAGTCTCAGTTCGATACGTCACGATAAAAAAATTCAGTTTTCTTGACAAGGAAATAACGTCTGGATACAGTTTATACTCCAGCACTTGACTGTCATGCATTGATTTCTGTTCTTGTTTTTTTTTTCTTAGTAACGGATTTCTACATAATCAAATCTTGCTTTCTTAATGGAAAGCCGTATAAATATTTACTATAACAATTGCCATTATTATCAAATCTGTAATTCATATCCCCAAAATATTTACTTCCTCGTTATTTGGTGTCGATTAGTCAAAGCATAAGTTCTGCTTGAAAATGCATAGTAATTACATTCTCATCTATTGAGCATTACAGTCAATGTTCCAATAATTGACATTTTCATGAAAGATGCATGATAGTAAATCTTTTTTTAATTAATTTGATAATAAAGCTTTATCTTAAAAACTTTTACTTTCAATTATTTTTGTGATAATTACACTTTTGTAAAAAGTCAAATGATAATTGTAAGTTGAATTCATTAATATATTAATCAGTTATGGATGTAAGTAATAATAAACCATAGCCTCCTTTTCTTACACTAAATCGCCCTTCTTAATCTCCTGTCATGAAGATTGATCGATTTTTTTCAGCAAAAATATTTAACTTAATAAAAAGCATTTAATAAAATTGATTATAGTAGAATGATTTATCTTTAGATTAATATATATATATATATATATATATATATAAATATATGTAATAAATTCAGTTTTGATTTAGTTTTTATTTGTTGTATTTTTTATGTTAAAATAAATATATTAACATATTTCAATATTGCATGTAAAATATAATATTGTGTTTATATTAAATAATCTCTACATAATTATGAAGAGATATTGGATTTTTTATAAGCCTATCCTATAAACTTATAATATTTATTCGTTGCTTTTATGCAAGGTTACAAACTTCATTATAGCCGTTTAACTTTCCAAGAATAATGTAAATTATTTTAATTATTTATTTTAAAACTCAATATAAAATATTAATGGATAAATATATTTTATTATAATTATTCTTGCATATAACCAATAATGTAAGCGGGACATTCAAGAAAATGTAATTTATTTTACAATTTATTAGTATTCGTAGGTGATTATAAAATTAAATTCTTGAATACATTAATCATACATATTATAAGTATAATTAAAATTTGTTTATTTTAAATCTAATTTAAAATTCAATCTGAAATATATAACATGAAATAAAGCACGGAAACATGAAGTTTTACGAAGGCTAATAAAATAATTTAAGATAAAATGTAAAAAGAGAATCTAACACAAAATCATAATAAAGCAAGTCTGACTAGAAGTCGACGTATTTATTCTATTTTTATTTGAAAATCCTTGAAAGCTATTGTCAGATATTGTAGAATATTTTTTACTTTTTATCGCATAACTTTGTATTTTATACATGTGTATCTAATTGTTATGTTTGCAATATAAAATAAAAAAAACTTTAAATTCAAATACAACAACAAATAAAAAAAAAAAAAAAACGGTAAATACAACTAATAATTGCTATACAATTCAATAATCGCAAACTTTATAAACTCGTGTAATATACTATTCAATATAAATTAAATACTACACATTACCAATGAATATATATTATTTGTTGCTAACTACTTGTATAAATTTTATATGAGTACAATAAATTAATCGGATTAATATATATAAAAACTATATATATTAATTTTCTTGTCGTAATAAGCATTTTCAAATGCTTGATAAGCCCAGGTAATTGATTATAATTGATAAATATATTCAAATACAGCGACAATTTATCATCTTTGTAAAGTTTATGTCTTTTAAATCTCCTATCTGAAAAATTTTTAATTTTAATTAATATTGCTCATAAATATTATTCTCTTAATATTATTCTGTATATTAACAGATTTAATGTCACGATTGTTAATTTTACTTTTGAAGAAAATAATAAAAGATTTAATGATCTTATTATAAATTATAGAATAATTCTAAACAGGTAATAATTAATGTAAATTAAACTATTCATTTCCTTTAGGTTATTTCTAAAAAAATATAAGTATAGAATATTTATTTTAGAATGATTTGAAATAAAATTTGTGTATATATACTTAATCGTATATAAATAAAATTGGAAAGTCGTAAATAAAATTGTACTCACGCAAAAAATAATTTCTTATTTATTTCTACAATATGCCTTATGATATAAACATGTTAACTAAAGAGGAATAATTGTTTACTATGTTTATTTTAATTGGATATAACTTGATTATAATACTGTATTATTTATTGTCACTAATAAATATTATTACGCGACTTGGTAAAAATTACATAATAATATTTAGATTCCATTGAATGAACTTATCTATAATTTTTTTACAAACATAGTATTAAAAATATAGGGTTGTTAATTTTACGAATATTTATATAAATATTCGTGCATCTCATATATATATATATATATATTTACATATACAATACACTTTACTTTAAATCTGGATTTTTACAAAATTTTAATCTTTTATATCTTTCGACTAATTATATATATTTAATTCCTATTAAAAATCGCTAGATTAGTCATGACTATTTTAGTTAAATACGTATTCGTCATAATGATTTCCAAGTTTAGCCAAGTAATTAATAAGCTTTTAACAAGTATCATTAATTGAATACGAAAAATTATATTTTTGTCAATTCTGGTACGAAATAATGGTATTTTTACTTTTAATTGCCTACGATGAATATGAATTTATAAAACAGTTTTTATAAGCATATCGATGTGATTATATTTATTTAAATTCTAATCGTAAATATATGTATATAATATTCGTACATGAAAATTTTTATAAAGTGCTCATTGTATAAAAGAAAATCTCAACATCAATTGAATTGTAGATGTTTCAAAATTATTAATAAACCAATAGAAAACTTATTATTCGCCCATCAAGAACACTCTACTATTTGCTGCTACTTTGTTCAAAATTTCCCTTACTTCAATTCACTTTGCATCATACTTTCGATACTTACATTTTTTTTTAATCAAGCACCACTACTATAAATTCAACATACACAATATAATTTCAATTGATCTTCGACAAATTTATATTTCGATATTTGTAATCACACCTGCAGGCACCTTGCTTGAAATTCTCCTTCGCCCTTCAAACTTTAAAAGCCTACATAAATCTTGTGATTTCTATTTTTACGAGAATAAATATAAATAAATAATGCACGATTCAATTTACCATTAACATTATTCCCAGCCACTTGATATTCGAGCGAGAATCTAGAAATTAAAGGCCAACGGGACAGACATTTACAGGATAAGCTTGTCACACTTTGGAACGACGAACACGTCGATTGCCAGAGCCAAGACACTGGACGACCTCAACAAGGCCGCCGCAGGTTTCCAACTAAATCACGGTGACATCCTCGTCCTCGAGGCCCCTGCTGGGCTTGGCGAAAATCTCATACACGTCACCTCCGGTCGCTCCATCTACTTCGCCCAGAATACCGGTGAATTATTTTATTTTGAATCGTTGAATCATCATGCGAAATCAACGCGGCAAAACATTGTAGATATGTATTAAATCTTTACCGAATATGCGCGTAATGCGTATCTCGAAGCTTTTAGCGTTTGAATTAAAGTTAAATTTATGGAGCGCAAATATTTCGTAAAATTGTTTTAAAAAATATTAATGGTTAAGCTTTTCATTGCTATCTCGTACGATCTTAACTATCTTAAGACGGCTGAATAAAAAATACATTGTTTATACTAATCATGCAACAAAATTACAATTAAATAATAATAAATAATTTGGAAAATAATTTAAAATATAAAAAGGATCGCTTATTGGAGGGAACGTTAAATTTTTTATTCAAGCTGATTTTAATAAAGTGGGCGGGAGATTTGTGTACACGTGAATTATGAATACATCGATATCACAGATCGGATTTTCTCAATCGCTAAGCTTCAACAGTCGTAGACAATATAATAAACAAGAAGTATATTAATAACGAGGCGACTAGAACATTTGAGAAATACTAAATGCCAGCGCGCATATGCACCGAGCGCACTAATAACAGCGGCGTCTCCCAAGACAAAATAAAGGGGTTAAAAAGTCAGCGAACCAAGCGTCCGATTATGATTATGACGCTTGCGCAATTATCTCCATCCCCAACATTGTTTCATATTTCAATTTTTTTCTTTCTCTCCTCTCTCTCTCTCTCTCTCTCTCTCTCCGGCTCGCGTAGACAGTGCGAAGATCGCTCAAGTGCTGTGTCAATGGATTTATCGTGATGCAGCACTTACACTGACTAAGAATGCACTCACAGAGCCGACAGAGTACAGCCTCGACGTCGTTAACAGGCGACGCTTTCCCGTTAGTTCCAATTATGACGTATTGTTAACGGTCGTCAATCCGGAGCCGGAGCTCCTCCAAGTGGACAGGAACTTCTCCCACATCGCCCAAGGTACGTTTAAATTAATCGCTCGCAAAAAGTTGGACCACGTAACTAGATAGATGCTCACAGATGTTTATATGCTAATTATTAATCGTGCCACGTGCCACCTGCCGTGGCAACTGCCACTTGATACATTAATTATTGTTAATTCTAATTTTTTACACTCATAATGGCTCTGTCTGGCACATTCACTGTTGACTTTGGCGCCGATCTATCGATAAGTCCCTATTAATTGCTATTTCGTTTAATAAATTTTCAAAACTATTGTTCAAAAAAGCATAGCATTCGAAAAACTGACTGGAAAAAATAAACTTTTTACACACAATCATTGTTAAAAAAAAAAAAAAAAAACAGTTTTTTTAATATGCATAGATATCACTCATAAACAAGTAGACATTATTATTATTTCTATATCAATTGATCCACCGACTCGGTACATTTCAATTATTTTTTCATAATCTGAATAAAAGCTTACTTCATTATTAACATGATTGAAAAACCAAAACCAATCCAATAAACAAGACAAAAAAATTCTTTTAATTATACTTAATTTATAAAATTGTACTATATTTATTAAATTATTTATTTATTATATTATGTATTCATAATTGGTCGTGTTAGTTTTTTTCTTCTTTTTTTTTTTATCATTTTTCTATTCGTAAATATGAAATTTTATCCAGATAATACTTGTTTGCTTTTTCCTTTTTTACTATACTTTCTTGACTTTTAGATCTCACTTTATGTTATTGTTTTTTTTTTTTTTTTTTTTTTTTTTTTTAATACACCATTAGTATTTAATATGAGTTATTATATTTTCTTTTGCATCATTCAATAATACATTGTTGAAATAATTTTATTGCATTGGTTTGGTCCGTAAACAGAATATGTTAAATTTTTCTTCCCGCGCTCTAATTATATTCCTGAATTGAAAGTAATTGGAAGGTAATTGAACTTGGACGAATAATACAGAAATAGATACTTAATTTATTTTCATTAAATTCTCAATTGTCCAACAATAATATATATGACGTAAAATCATCAAGTTATAAAATTACTAATTAATTGGAATAATATTTTAAGACTACATCGATCCGTTTCTGGAGGAGCTATCGATAATCGCTGATTTCTCAATCAAATCCCAATGGCTCTATTTCCTACCATTAGGTGTGAAACCGAAGGAAGTGCCAGCTAATAATAAATTCGGACGGTACTTTGCCTTATCCGAGGATATTTTACCACAAGTTATTACTCCATTGGAAAAGAAACTCGGTATACTAAAGTTTTTCATTATTTTTTATAAGATCACTAAATGATTATTTATGAAAATTATTAATAATTATTAAAATAATTAATCCTTGTAATTTTTTTTTTTTTTTTTTTTTTTTTTTTTTTTTTTTTTTTTACAAAAACTTTACTCGTGCTCATTTTTAACGAACAATTATAAATGAAACTTAACTATAAATGAATCGATTAGAAATATCCTTATTTCGATAATTATTCAACATATATATATACAATGCTAAGCATAGAATTTGGTTAACAAAAATGTTTTTAAACAAAAATGCTTTAATTTTTAATTATAGTATACAAAAATTTTTATCTGAATATGATGTTATTTCAAAATTGATTTTTATATAGAGATTAATTCGTCGTCAATCGATAACTAATTTATTTGAATCATCGTCTTGCAACATTTAAAACATCTCTACGATAAGTGTAGATAATTATGGCATTAATTTTCATTTACAAATGTGTTTTATTTAATTATAGCATCTCAAGTTAGCCTGTATCCGACAATAAATCTAGTCGCCTATATGGTTCCTTGTAAAAGTGCGCCCCTGCACATTTTCTCCCGGAATGGTCGCCGGGTAAATGAGAAACTCGACCTCGAGCCTTTTCATTCCCCAAGGTGAGAGATTTTTTTAACATGCGATATTATGAAAATGTCATTTAAACAATTCATTGATAAATTTGTTTTCTCGCTTGACGAATTATAAAATTACTTTTACCTCAATGTTCAATAAGTGTTGTTATAATTAAGAAAAATCTGTCTTTAAATACGTGTTGTAATAATACATCATATTACTAATTTCCAATATTAATATTAAAAAATATGTAAAATAATATTTAATGACATTTCTATAATAATGTAGATCCGAAATGCATAATTTTAAATAATAATTATTGTGTCATATTGCGACAATAATGACTTTTATAAAAATTATTTGCTTTAAAAGAAAAAAAAAATTACTCGTTTTATCAAAACCAGAATTTTTTGTTTTTGTTTTTGTTTTTTTGTTTTTTGTTTTTTATTTTTTGTTTTTTGTTTGTTTTTTTTTATTTTTTACATTAGAATATTCTTTTAATGCAATTAATTTTCCGCGTTACACTTCCTACATAGTTCGCAATATCATTCGTAATTGGCAATTTTTGTTGTAGATGGGGTGGCATAGTATTAATCAATCCATCTGCAGAATTTTGCAAACAAGCCAAAGCAAATAAAATTTTTAAGCCACCGGTTAATATTACGACTAAAGTATTTTTAACGCATTTAAGACTGTTATTGGGTATTCCAGATAAGGTAAGAATATTTTTGTCACTTGTGTTTGCTTTGATGCTGCATAATATAATAATTAAATTGATTTGATTTAATAGCGATTCGAAAAATTATGATCATCAAATTAAATTGAGCAAATAAAAATTTTAAAAATAAACCAAAAATTTCAAATTAACAATTTCATTAAGTACTAAAAGCTTTTCATAATATAGATATTCTTTGTTTATATACTTAATGTCTGAAGAAACGGACGGTATTATTATAATAAGCGCGTAATTATAAATTGCTTTTATTATTTATTTAATAATTATTAAGTCAATAGTTATAAAGATCATAATGATAGTATATAGAATGTTCAATCCAAAATATGCTAATTTTTATTATTTATTAAATGACGAAATAAAATGATAATAGTTTATTATAATTGCTCTACAGAAACGAAAAAAAAAAAAGAAAAAAAAATTATTTGGAATGTTTTCCACATGATATAATTCATTTTAATAAGAAAAATGATAAAGTTGCATATGTTGGTGAGAATTTCAAAAAGAGAAAATGCTGAAAAGATGTTTATCGACTGTTTGAAAGTGAAAATATTTATGAAATCGGTCGAAGCTGAATTCGAAAATGTAAATCATTTAAGCCGATCGAGCTGTCCAAGTGAAAAAAAAAAATAACAGATCTTACACAGATCCTAAATCTTTGTTAATTTCAATACTAATGTGAATATTTATAAAACTTTCGTTCAAATGTAGAATTAGAAATGTAGCGGGTTTCGAGGGAACATTTCACATTCACATTTCATTTATCTTCTCAAGCGCTCTTTAAACATCCGATCTCCCTTATTTCTTTTGGCCGTCAGTATTAAGACTAGAGTTATTAATTAAAGTGATCATGTATGAAGGAAAGAGACAACTAAGATTAAGAAGAATGCGTAAATTGTTGGGCAGGAGGAGATATCTCGGACGTCGATGGCCGAATTGTCGGGGCTGAAACCGCGCGACTGGGAAGTGGACGACCTTCTTCGAATGCGTTCGGTAGAGCAGCTGACTTCGGCCAAGCTCACTTTACAATCGTTAGCCCGTCTTCTGCGCGAGATCAGCAACATCGTCATTACGGAGACGGTAGGTGGCAGAATAATGCGAGCCCTGGAGCTGATTGAGCTGTCGGCAAAGCTGCTCAACGAGGGCGACCTCAAAGGTGGCTTTCTTGCAAGTAAGGAGGCCTTCGTTATGTCCGAGGCCGCCTTCACCGATCCTTCGCTTCTAGCACTTCTGTACTTCCCCGACGATCAGAAGTAAGTTGTTGCACGATCGCTGCATTTTTATGGCCGAATGTATTTGTTAGAAATAAATAGAGCGATGATCGATGGTAGATATTGTCGGTTAGCTAGCTGCATTTTCCCGTCAATTATTGCATTTTTTTATTATTGACGATTTGGTCACTTTGATGCTTGGAAATTGCGATAACGTCGGCCAGTTGGTATTAAAATTCAAAAGCGCGCCTCAAAAGGCGTTCTAAATGGAATTTTGAAAGCAAGAATTCGTTATAAAATTCTAAAGTGCAGCTAACAATCATTAAAAACAAAAAAAAACAAAAAACAAAAAAAAAAAAGAAAAAAAGACCTTGATTTTTATTTATTGAAAATTTTTTCAATATAATTATAGAGTTAAATGGAAGACGGTATGTATGTCAAACGTTAAAGAGTTGGAATTCAGAACATGTTTTATAAGGCAATTATAAAAAGGCTTTGCTATTAAAAGTAATTTACCAAGTATCGTTTATTACAAATAATCAGAAAAATAATATAAATTAAATGTGTTATGTACTATAGAATATATAAAAGCCAAAATTTTTATGAATTTTAAGGTTAATTATTCGTTAATTATTTTCATCGACTATTCGCAAACGTAAAATATTCGTTAGCCATTTAAAAACAATACTACTCCGTTATTGCAATTTTTTTTAATAAGAATATTCTAAAACGCGTTGTTCACGATACTCCAGCTTAAAAATACAAGCGATTAATTATTAATATGAATTATATATAACACAGTAAATGCTTATTGCCATTTTGTCATTGATATGAATGTTATTTATTAAACTGTAATTTCTTTTTTTCAAATTACAGATATGCTGTATACATTCCGCTATTCTTACCAATAATGATACCAGTTCTGTTTTCATTGAAGAATATAAAAAATTATTTATTTTGTTCGGATCAAGTTTAAATTTAACAAATATGTATAAATATGTAAAAATATGTAAAAATAAAAAATTTGTATGTATATATTTCTATTGATTGTCATTATTGTCCTCGCCTTGGTCTCATAATTTTCATATGAAAATACAAACGAACGTATAGTAATACCGTTCGACTACAACGAAACTACATTATTTAGCAAAGTTATTATTCCATTTACTTATTCTCGGATAATGTAAAAATGTAAACATTAATTCTTAAACAAGGTTAATTAAAAAAGAAAGAGAGAGAGAGAGAGAGAGAGAAAGAAAATAAAAAGTAAAAATGTCTCAAGACATATAATTTAATTTTAATCTCCTACAAGATATTCAATTTGAAGTTTCCCTTGATATATTAACAACAACCATACTCGTTGTCTTTGGTCTTGCGCACGTCGCTTCTCTCTTGTCTCTCTCTCTCTCTCTCTCTCTCTCTCTCTCTCTCTCTCTCTCTCTCTCGTCTCCTCTTTAGGGTTCATTTATTCATTATTGCGCTGTGACGCAAGTATTCTCTATCATATGTTCGTCGTTTTCTCATTTCATAATAATATTTCCAAAGTAATGAAGTAAATTGTTATAAAAATATTTTTCTCCTTTAACTATTTCTAATTTATTTCCACTACCGTCGATATGGCTGAATTATTGCTTGATCCGAATATTCGTGGTTGGGTTTTCTTACCAATTGTTGTTATAACCTTTCTAGTCGGAATTATAAGACATTATGTATCAATTTTACTTTCCTCTCAGAAGAAAGTTGAACTTCACCAAGTGCAAGATAGGTAAGAATTTTCTGTCCACTTATTAATTTTATCCAAGGAATTCAATTACTCTTTACCGTGCACATAGATTTTATAAAGTTTTTGTTATCGCTAGACATACCTTTTCTATTCCTATTACTTTATCTTATAATTTGTTAGTTTTTATGTTCTGTAGAGTAATATGACAATAATGAAACGTTTATATAATTTTCTCTGTTTTAATTAACTTATACTGAAACGTTAGTCAAGTGATGATACGCTCGAGGTTGCTAAGAGAAAACGGACAATACATTCCAAAAACTGCATTTCTCTCGAGAAGACACTTTTTCAATAATGAAGAAACTGGATATTTTAAAACGCAGAGACGAGCGCCCGTTTCACAAAATCCTGTAACCGATCCTGCCATGATGACTGACATGTTAAAAGGAAACGTTACAAATGTTTTGCCTATGGTACTTATCGGTGGATGGATAAATTGGATGTTCTCTGGATTTGTTACTAGTAATAAGTTTTTAAAAGAAATTTCTCAGAAGATTTAATAATGTAATTGTGAATATTTATGTAACTCATTTAATTTATAGCTAAAGTACCATTTCCCTTAACACTTCGTTTTAAACCAATGTTACAACGAGGCATAGAACTTGTAACTCTTGATGCTGCATGGGTATCGTCAGCTTCGTGGTACTTTCTTAATGTATTTGGTTTAAGATCAATTTATACTTTAGTTTTGGGTGAGAATAATGCCGCCGATACATCCAGACATCTTCAAGATCAGGTTTCTGGTGCAGCGATGTCGATGCCACCTAATCCTAAAGCAGCTTTTAAGTCAGAATGGGAAGCTTTGGAAATTTGCGAACATAACTGGGCATTGAATGGAGTGGACGATGATTTACTAGGTTTGAGAAATACGTCTGATAGTATTGAAAATATGTATTACCAAAGTAAATCAGGCTTGTGAATCTTTTCATTAAGTTTTTTATTTATTAATCGTTACTTAATAACTTCTTACATTATTAAATAAATTTAAATAATTCACGCTTACATGTATATATATATATATATATATATATATATATATGCATACATACAATAAAATATTCATTAACTGTGGGATATCATTTTTGGATATAAATCCGTTCGTCTATGTTCTTCATTTGGCATGTTCTTTCTTATTTGATCGACTAGATCTAAGTCTATTTCAGCTACGGCAATACCTTGCTTATCTGTACATTGAGCAACTATCGTGCCCCATGGATCAATTATCTATAAAAATAATTTAACTTAAATGATACTTGAAATTTTTTTTTTAATAATAATAGAGGTAGAGTTTTAGCAAAAGAAGAACAAAAATTAATTTCTTTAATTTTCAAATATGATTTTTTTGAGCAATATTTTATAACTTCATTTAAATGATCGTACAAAGATTTGTTAAAACTTTTCTAACATTAATTTTCCTAAGATGCTTCAATTATAAATATTTGATCATTAATTGATTAAATTAAAAAATTAAACAAAGCATTTTTACTTATTTATGTTTGTAAGGATAATTAATAAGTGAAAATAATGAATGAAAAAATTTAATGCAAAAAATGACCATAGCATTTACCATAGCATGACCCCAACTAACTCTCTTTTTATTATGCGCTCCTACTTGTGCAGCTGCAATAACATAGCATTGTGTTTCGATTGCCCTCGCTCTCAATAAAACTTCCCAATGTGCAGCACCTGTTTGATACGTAAAAGCTGCAGGATATGTTAATATTTGTGCTCCCATATTTCGAAGGCAAAAGGATAATTCAGGGAATCGCAGATCGTAACACTGAAAAATTTTTTGATTACAAACAATTACTATAATAATAGAGTTATTAGAAGCCATACAATGCTTAAGCCTATTTTTCCAACTGGTGTCGATACTGGGGCAATAATTTCAGAACCTTTTTCAACATAGTCGGATTCTACCAACCTAACACCTATTTTTTTATTATCCATATCAAATAAATGTATCTTCCTGTATACCGCTACTAATTTTCCCTCGTTATTTACCATAATATGAGAATTATTAATTTTTTTCTTATCTGCCACCTGGATAACGATTGAATGGTATTAATTAATTTTTATTCCTTATCTTTGGTTCATTAATAATTTAATACTCACAGTTTCGTGAATTCCACCAAACGAAAGCCAAATATTTTCTCTCATAGCCAATTCTTTATAACGCTGAATTGTACAACCATTCAATGGTTCCGACATTGATACAGCATTAGCTGTACTATCGGCCAAATAATCACATGCTTCGGGGAAAAAAGCAACCTACAAAGTTAAGTATAGAATTTGTAAATAACAAGTTCAAAAAGTTAAATTATACAAAAAAATGTTCATACAGAGGCATTTCGTTTCTTAGCCTCCGCTACTAAGTTACAAACAATTTCGAAGTTCTTATCCTTATTAGATGTTGAAGTCATTTGACATACGGCAACAAGTGGATTCACCATTGTACTTACGTTTAATTTTAATATATTGGGTCTAATAAAAAATAAAAAATAAAAACAATTAAAATTTTATTCATGACAGTCATTAATAAAATTAAAAATGCGATAATTACGTTAAGTTTTCATATAGTTTCACAAAGACGTTTTTTAATCCTACTTGAAACATATTACAATGTCAAACAAATACCTTTGATTGCATTTTCAAGAAAAATGTTTACAATAACCTAAACTATGACTCAATCACGATAAATAATATACAATTATTATAAGCATTCAACTGCAAATAATTTTTTACAATAATTATATTGTCTAATGATTATTATTAAAATTTATATTTTCTCTGTAAATACAATAATTTTACCCATAATAAACGATAAAACATTTTTAAATTCTATATGCATTATGCTATCACTACCAATCAAAATAAAAAAAAAAAACCAAAGTTCCACGATTACGGTACCAACTGCCATCTATCAGCTGTTAATTTACTATTCGGGTCGAGTGTATCGAATAGTTCATGTCATTTATTCGGAGGAGTAGTATTGTTTATAAACAGTTATCACAAAGGCTGTCAAGTGATTAAAGCATTTCTATTTTATAACGTACATATCATACTTTGAGTTAAAATCCTAAAATATCTAAAAATGGCTAATTCTGAATCTAGTTTGGTAAAAGTAACCACTAATATACAAAAGGTTGTTGGTGCAGTTTTCGATGCTATTTACTACTTGTAAGTATTTTTATAATTTTCATAAAGCGTTTATTGTTTTGATTAAAGCAACAATGAGTGACTAATTCAATTCTAGCTAACGTCGTAATGTAAAAATTATCTATTGCAGTATACGTTTACTAAAAATATACAAAATGGCGTACAATACAATCTAATCTAATTTAAAAAGACCATTTATTTCGAAATTTTCCATTTAGAAGAGTCCCCGATTCCGTTATTTAATCACATTTTTCTTATTGTAGTATTCAAACGTCAAACGTCAAACGTCATTCTAAACAAAATATAAATAAAAATTTTATTTGTCATTTCAATCGTGCAATTATATTATCATCAATTTCCAAATATACGAACAAATGAATATTTTGTTTAATATAACTAAGTAACAAAATAAAATCAATATTCAAATGCCATTTTTATCTTTCCTATAATTATAACAAGAATTGCATTATTATATGGTATTAAAGTTGCTCGATAATCTTGAAAAACATTAAAATTTTATGAAATTTCCAATTCGTACTTTAGTAATTTAATAATACAAATGGAGTAGCATCAAAATTTAAATTATAATGTAATTCTTAAATTTAACAAATAATTGAGTTTAACGCTTTTTATTTTAGCATACATACGTTAATCAATCCAAATGCTGCAAGGTATAGAGAAAGGTATAGAGAAAAGAAATATAAGCACGAATACTATATATTTTTACACTTATTTAATAACACGAATGTAAAAATTATTATTATTTTAGAGCGAGTAGACCAAATGGTGGCAGAATAGCTACTCTCAGACCATCTGGATCTAGAGGATTAGCACCAAATATGAGTATTGGTGGCTGTCGAAGTTGCCAAATGTGAGGATTTACGAATATTTTACTTTATAAATACAAATGGAATTACACAGTTTTATCTGAATTTTGGACAAAAAAATATCATTTTAGATATACTGTCTTAATTTAACATTATCATAAATAATATTCCAAAATCTTATCCCATGATTCCTCTACCCGACCTAACAATAAATAATTAAACAGTAACATATTATGTAAATAAAATCAAAATAAAAAAGTAATATCAATATGAACCTTCTACTGTTCTTGCGTTATATTTGAATTTCAGAATGCTTCTCTCAATTCCGATTCGGAAATAAAATCTAAAAGCAAAGTGCCCATTCCTTCATTCATATATCTTAGTAGATCTTTGTCGAATATACCATAGTTATCATCAACTTTGATCACACAACCATTAACAGTATTTTTAAGTCCATTTTCGTAAGGTGTTATTGTGTTATAACAAAACAAGATTAATTTTCTGAAATGTTTAATAAAAATTAAATTGATAATACGAAGATATAATTTCAAAAATAAAATTATTTGCAAACGATAATTAGTTTTCTCCCTCAAGTATACAGTACGTTACACTATTATACCATTAAAATAAACAATTTTGTACATAATATATGAAATATTTATCAAATAATAAAGATATTTGCTTTTAATAATAGCATCTGTAGCTTTTAAATATAAATTATGTATTAAATTGAGCTGCAGTCAAATTGAAAAATAAAGTGTCTATAATGGTAAAACGTGAGTTGTATAGTAAAAAGTTTAAAAATAATAAATATAATAATAGTCTCTTACCACCAAAAATAAGCAATAGTCATGTTCCATAAATCAACGTCTATAAATAATTAAATTTTATTAAAAAATAAAATATCATATAAATGAAAGTAATACTTTATATCCATAATTAATAAATAATTGTATTACCAATTGAATATTTTTTAAAATCAACGTCATGACACCCTGACATGCCAAATGGTTTTCAATTTCTTTTTTTATGAAAATTAATTAGGATAAATGTGTGTGTCACTTGTACGCTACGAGCAATCCAAGTGACTCATTGATTACATCTAATGTAAAGGATTAAGTAACTAAACAAATCGAGTACTAATGAAGTAAAATTTTTGATAGTTGATATCCAATTTTCTTTTTTCTCAGGTATGCTTATGATATAAATATTTCCATACTTCATATTACTTTTAGTACTTGGGTATATTTATTATTCATACGCGCCTTGTCGCATCTTCAATTTATTATTCTCTCTCCATCAAACAATCTAGTGTTGTTAAGAAAAAATGGGGCCTAAAGGGTTTGGAAAGTCGACGACTTTCAATTTTTTTTTTTTTCCATCGATATGAAATATAGCGATTATTGTATATTCATGGTAATGAACGCCGAATGTGACTTTGTCTTACGTCTTTTAATGGTTATAACGTACTAAAATAACTTTACACTTGATTTCTTTTATGTATTTACAGATTCATTTTATTTTGCTTTGACAAGAACATGATCATTAATGACAGTGTCATTGTCATCATTGTACAGTACATGGAATTGTTCGATACAAGTGTTTTAGAGCAAAATTGAGTTCCATACAAATAAATTACTATACTTCCATACAAATAGACTACAGTATTTTTTATCAACTCGCGAGTACGAATAAAAAAGCCAATTATTTATAAAAATAAGGTGATCTATTAGTTGTTTTTATATTCAAACCACTGCGATAATGAATAATGTGTTTCACACTATCCATACATTATTGAATGAAACTTGAAATATAGGGTAGGAAAGATAATTTAAATAATAACTCGATAAATATGCATGTGTTAAAAAGACGTATTTACGGGATATCAAAGAATCTTAAAAATTCTTATAAAAAATAATCAGACTATTTAACAAGAGAAATATCATAAAACTCTTATTCGATCTTTGTGATAAGACCAGCTGCTATTGTTAAACCGTCGATCCTAAGTGTAATTCTGCCAATTTGCCTCGAGTCCTTCTGAAGTTCAACACAAATTGGCCTTTCTGTCGTTATTTGGACGATCGCGTTCATATTTTTTGCTAAATATCTGGGCGCTTTCTTCAAGGGCTCACCGGTACTCTTGTTTATCTCTGCCATTATTCTACTAATAATTGCTGGTTCAACGAGTGATTGCTGGTGTAAGACCACTGGCATACCAATCGTCAATATTTTGTTTATATTGAAGCAAGCAATATGTGCTTGAAAGCGATTTGTTACAGGCACCGGAAACTGAGGATCGCAGATGATATGACCAATAGCAAGCTTTTCCTGATAATTATTGGCTAAAATAAGCGAGACCTGATCACCTGCGAATGCGTGCGTTACGTTGTTGTCGTCCATTTGTATTCCTGAAAATGGATTGAATTTTGAATTTTATTGAACGTAAAAGCGTACGCCATTTATAATGAAAATTTATAAATAGAGAAAGTTTTGTTAAATATTATTATCTCCAAGACTTCCGTTAGTTCAAGATTCCGTATGAATTAATAATTAATTGTAATTTCATGTTGTTAACTGGTCTATCCTAGGCGTTTATTAACAACGAAATTGACTGCTTTCAATCGACTATTTAACGAAATAAATAGTTCTATGAATTTAAAATATTAAGTCTTCTTTCATCATACAATATTATATTTTGTTATACACGAGGTTATAATATTATTAAATTTAATAAGAAAATGAGAACCTTTAACGATAGCAGTTTCATTGGAAGGTAGGACAAGGATTTTATCACCAACTGAAACCATGCCAGTTTCCATGTGTCCATAAATACTAAAACCAAAGCCTGCATTCTTAAATATATCGTTAACGGAAAATCGCAATGGTTTATCTACAGGACGTTCTGGACTTTTAAAACCGTCGATAACTTCTACAAGAGTAGGACCGTTATACCTAAAACATAAGCATCAAACAGTTTTTAAATCAATGTAAAATATTCAATGATTAAAAATTATGCCTAATGAAATAAAATTGTATAATAATAAAAGAATATAACGGTTTAATGCACAAATAATAAATTTAAAATGCATGCAAAAAAAAAAAAAAAAAAAAAAAAAAAAAAAAAAATAGAAAAATAACAAATTTCTTACCACGAGAATTTTTCTATATCTTTAACATTTTCAACGATATTTACTCCTGAAAGGCCACTACATGGCACATACCTTATGGGTTCTTTAAAACCTACTTGCTTTAAATAATCTGCCATGTCCATCACAATTTTCTTAAATCTTTGTTCAGACCAATTAACTGTATCCAATTTGTTTATTATTACCGCTAACTGTGTAACTCCTGAAAATAATTACATCATCATTAACTGCAATATTGCAAGTTAGTATTATTGAAATTATCTTTCTTTCTTATTAATTTATTAAATAAACAATTTTCTTTATAATGGTTTTTGTGTTACAAATATGTGGGTATAGTTTAACATTATTTGTGGGTTTTTTTTTTATTTTTTTTTTTATTTTTTTTTTTTTTTTTATTAAAAATAAAATAGCTCTTAAACATATAGGATTCTGAAATACAAGTGAAACTCATTAATTATTAGAAATAATACTGATTTCTTACCGAGAGCACGTAATAGCAAAGTATGTTCTCTCGTTTGACCACCACTTTCGAATCCTGTTTCGAATTCTCCTGTCGTTGCATCGACTACCAAGAAAGCTACATCTGCCTGAGCTACTCCCATTATCACATTCGGTACAAAGTCTTTGTGTCCTGGAGAATCGATTAATGTGATAATTTTGTTATCGGTTTCAAACTTCGATTGGCCGATGTCCATTGTAATGCCCCGTTCCCTATATAAACAAATTGCTATCATTTCGATGCTTTCTCCAATCATCATTTAATAATTATTTTATATTCAATTGTAAAGATTCAATTGTTATTTCCCTCTTTTGTTTTTGTTTTTATTTTTTACCGTTTTAATATGTGAAAGCCTTAATGGAGGATTGAATTTCCAAAAATTTGATAATACCATTATAAATATATGTTTATGTGATATATAGTTAATAATCTTACACGGTATACATAAATAAGATTGATTGTGCCGTTGGAAATATAACGAGAGAAACATTTTTAAAATAAATAAGTAAATCGACTGCCTTTGCAATGCTTGCAGAGATCGATGTTAAGACAATAAATAAATTCAGCAATTAGTCAACTAATCATACCAAGAATATTATTAGATTATATTACTTATAGAACACGCTTTTATAAATTGTTGTTATAGACGTAGCAATATGGGAATGGGACATTAAACGTTATTAGTGATCAAGTCACTCACCTCTCCTCCTCGCTTAAATCAAGTACCCATGCATAGACGAAGGACTGCTTGCCGATCTTTTTACTTTCTTCCTGGTTCTTGTGAAATACCTTGTCGGGCACCTGGCCAAGGTCATATAGCAGTCTACCTAATATCGTGCTCTTACCAGCGTCCACGTGGCCAACCATAATAAGACTCAAATTTTCTTTACAGCTTTCGCGCTTACTCTTGTAGATGGCAAGGGCATCTCGTTTCTCTTTGACCCTTGGCTGCTCCGAGTTTTCCAGTGTGATAGGCAATTCACTCCTTAACTTTCCCTTAATTGTACAATACCACAGCACTTAAATTCTGATCTCATGATTAATATTTAATTATTTTAAGAAAATAAGAGCTCCATTCTCTTGTTTTCAATGAAATGGCTTTTTTTTTTTAGATAGTTACTGGTCAAACCGGCTAGTCTATTTTTTCCTTTCATTCGTTATTTTATTAGCGAATTAACACCCCGAGTACACGATTTAAATTTAAATACAGATAATTGTATGCATAGGATAATAATTATGAGCCTTCGGAATAAATTTGATTTATAACAAAAATGACTTTGTAACTTCAAAATTAAACAAGTAAGTTATTGTGTTTCACAGAAAGTTTTTGGATCAATAACATTCACTTAAGTTTTTAATATTAAATTTTTTTTTTTTTTTAATATATGAACTATTAATTTTCTTTATAACATTAAGTCAAAAGTTGTTAATATTTTCTATAACATTATAAAAAAAAAAAAAAAAAAAAAAAAAATCGTACTCATGCATTAGAAATATTAGTTTTGGAGTAAACCATGAAAATATGAAATTTGTCATTTAACAGATCGCAAATACTTTTTCTTAATTTAGTAAAACAGTATGTGTAATACAAAATCATGTTAAAAACTATATATTTTATTTGTTTTAAATCTTTTCCTTTTAAAATCTGTTACTTTGACAATGAGTTTAAATATAAAAATAATGAAAATAAAAAATACTAATTATTTTACATGCATTACAAAACATAAACTACCAAATAGATGTTTAAAAAAATGTTCTTTGTTCTTCTATTTTTAATAAATATATTTTGTTGTAAAATAAATATTAATAAATTTTAATTTATCAATGTACAATGTAATATATGTTTAGGAATGCCAGTAATTTTACTCTCTACTGTTTTTACTGTTTTACTTGCTTTTATATATCTAGACATATAATGAATACCTATTATGATATTAATAATTAATTGTATGATAAAGCAAAAAGACAATTTAGAAAAGTTTAAATAAAAAATTACTGTATTTCAAAGAATTTTGAGAAAATAATAAATTAAGAATATTTCTTATTTAAAATAATGATAACTAGACAGATGAGTAATTAATGCTATAATAGCAAATTCGTTTTAAATCGTTTGAAATAATTCTATGTTAATTAATAAACATTACATATTCAATAAGAAAATAGCTATAAATTTTTATGTAAATTTTCTAACCAGATTTACTGTCGAAGCTTGTCCTTTTTTCTTCCTATTCGAATCTGCTTTTGACTTTAGTTCCTGATTTCTAACAACACACGGACTTTCCGATTGTATTGTAAGGTTGTTTACATTTTCTGTGACACTCACGTCGAAGCCCTTCACTATATTTTTTGAAGTTGTAGGAACTACTTTTACCGTTGGCTTCATCTTTTCAGGGAGCTCTTCAGGACTTGGATTGTTTCCTGCTATGAAATCTTTTTTTAAATAATTTAAAGGAGACTATAATAAATCTAACTGCATGCAAATTTTGTTTACTTATAACTATATAAAAATGATTGAAGAATTACATTAAACTCTTTAAACAATTTTTATAAGTTTTTAAAATTTCTATTTATTTCAAATTGAATGATAAAACGTAGTAAACAAAATTCATTTATAAACATTACAAATTTTTACATTACATATATTTGTACAATATACTAATATAATAGTAATACGAAAATTAAGTAATTATTTTAAATAATGGTCAGATTATATTATTAAAAATAATAGATAATGAATGGTTAATTTTAAACGAATTAAGTATTTAAATAAGAATGTCGAGTATAACATTAAAAACTATACTTATATTTCTATAAATAAATATACATTTACGTATAATAATTGTCATTTAATATTGCATTGAACAAATATTTCATCATTTCACTATGCTAATAAAAATACACATCAATAATTTAATTACAAATAATTTATAAATAATTTTATTTATCTTTTATTTTCTTAAGGACTAATAACTAAGCACTGTATGGTGATGGACTAGAAAAATCAAATCGTAAAATAGTATTATAATCTTCTATGGATCGAATTTCTTTTCTTCCACAAATCGTATGTTTTTTATATTTTTTACATAATACTTTACCAAATGGTGACACTGGTTGTAATAATTTAAAGTTTGCATAATTCACATAATTAGAGATATATTCATTATGAATTACTTGTTTCGTTAATTCTATTATATTATTTGATGTATTTTTATTATTCGTATTACAAACTAGTTTATTATCTCCAACTAAATTATTTTTCTTTTCTTCACAAGTTAAATTAGAAATATTTTTTATAACTAAATCAGATAAATTTTGTACATTACAATCAATAATACAATTTTCTTGTTGCTCATTTTTAGAAAAATTTTGACTTATCAAATTAAAATTTGAATTGATACTTTTTTTATCCGTTTTTGAAGAAGTAGCTGAATTCTCAACGAAATCAGAAGAAAGTAAATTATTTGATTCGTCTTTTTTAATTTTTGATATAAAATCAATAGGTGAACTAACATATTTTCTTTCGCTCTTATTATCATTAAACGCTTTTAAATGATGGGTCGTAAGACTAGCAAGAGAATCAAAAGAAATTGCATCATCCGAATGAGTATTTTTTAAAGAACTTTGCAGAGTATAAGAACTTGATGGTGAATCGAAGGACTCTGTACTGTCCTCTTCATTTTTATTTGAAACATTTAGGTTAGTAATTAAGTTAGAAAGACAATTAAAAGATGGTATGGAATTTGAGTCAATATGCTTGGGTTTTGATGTGTTAAAATTCATTTTTGGAATTACAAAACCAGAAGATGAATTAGTTTTGTTTTCAGACATTTTTGAATAGTAAGTGTTCAAATCAGTAGCCGAAGGACCTGAACATTTATTTTCAGAATCAACGTCTAATCTTCTGGGTTTTGATGTGTTAAAATTCATTTTTGGAATTACAAAACCAGAAGATGAATTAGTTTTTTTTTCAGACATTTTTGAATAATAAGTGCTCAAATCAGTAGCCGAAGGACCTGAACAGTTATTTTCAGAATCAATTTCTGATGATTTTGAAGTTTCGGGTTTATCAAAAATTGAAGGGATAGTTTTTAATTCATTATTTTTACAGTCGGTATCAATTTGCCATTTATTATCAACACTCATATCCTTTTGATTAAGGGTTGATTGATTATCATGTTTACTAAAAATGCTTTTTAATTTTGAATCTTACCTTGCCAATAAACAAAGAGAATCATGAAAAAAAAAAAAGAAAAAGTATTACTTCATATATATTGTCATGATTTAGAATATCCATATTCCAAAAACATACCTGATAAATTATAGCTCCTTAAACCTGAAAAGAAATGTTTCATATAACTATTTATGTAAAAAAAAATCAAATTAAAAAATGGTTAACATGAGATAAAAAGATAAAAAAGAGATACAAACCTTCGTTTGGTTCGTTTAAAACTGAATTAATAACTGCTTCTACGTTGTAATTAAATTTATAAATTCTCTTCTTTAATTCTGATTCTGAAATTATATCCACAAGCAAATCTCCAATTGCATCTCTACAAATCTTTAATGCTGCTTCATCATACACCACATCACACACTACCTTATTATCTTCATTATCTAAATGATTAAAAAATGAAGTTATAGCACCTTCTTTATTTCGATCATAAATAAACTGCTGTACTGCAATCAATATAATAAAAATAAATTAATACAATGATGTGTTTAATAAATATAATAATAACATTAGATTAAAGATATGATAAAAAAAGTTATAAAAAACATTTGCAAAATATAAACATTTTTATACATCAAGTATATACCATACTGTAGTTTAAATATAGAAAATTTTATATGTAATTTATAAAATTTAATAAAATATAATAAATATTTACTTATAATGATACATTTCTAGCTTATAAATCGATATTGCATATTAAATTTAATTACGGTAAATTCATTTTGCTACGTTACATTAGTTTGAAAATATATGCAATAATAATTATTTTGGCAATACTACAATATTTCACTTCTTTAGCTTAATTCAATTGATTCAATAAATAATGTTTGATACATTTCAATATATAAGGTTGACATTACTTTTTACACACAATTTAACAATATAGTTGTAATCAACAAGTTTTATTACTCATTTTATTTATAAAAATAAAGAATTTAATTATTAGACAAAATATAAATTACAATAGTTGCAAATACAGAAAAAGAAATAAAAGGCTACATCCTTAAATATATTACAATGTCCCATTAGCTTACTGTCACTCATTTATAGTCGATTGTAATCAAACTTGAGTCATAGAAAGATATAAAAAATCATACAATGATCGTCATTGATACTCACCACTAGGAGAAACCGCATAATCTTCTTCCATTGAGTCTTCGGAAAGATCGTCATATGTATCAATATCTATAAATAATCAAGTTTTATTAAGAAATAAAATCTTTAAAATTTTAGTATTACATCATAACCTCAAACTAATAATAATTATATTACAATTTGAATACTCCATAGATCGAACGTCACGATGTCGTGACATTATGGCAAATACTCTTTAATTTCTTTTTGTATCAAAATATATTATTAATAAATTACTACAAATGTATATATGTCACTTGTATGTTGTTGCGAGTGATCACACTGACTCATTGACTACTACGCCTAACGTAAAAGAATAAAAAACTAATTCAATGAACACTACAATTTTGATAGTTGATTCTCAAATTTTCTGTTTAGCCATTCTTAATATCAAATTTTACCATACTCCCGTTAGTTATTACTGTTAATACTTAGATATAATTTTTCTTCATACGCGTGTTCTCGAATCTATCCTTATTCTTCTTTTTTCATGAGACATTCTAGTGCTTTAAGAAAAATGGCGCGCAGTGTTAAGTGGATGATTTCCAATATTTTTCTTATTTCAAGATCAATTATATCGATAGTAAGTTTTCCTTATTGTAAACAATATTGAAAATATAAGAGATTTACTTCTTTATGTACTTAAATAACTTTGCACTTGATTTCTTTTATGTATTTACAAATTAATTTGCTTCGAGAAATTTTAACATTATCATAAATAATATTCCAAAATCTTATCCCATGATTCCTCTACCCGACCTAACAATAAATAATTAAACAGTAACGTATTATGTAAATAAAATCAAAATAAAAAAGTAATATCAATATGAACCTTCTACTGTTCTTGCGTTATATTTGAATTTCAGAATGCTTCTCTCAATTCCGATTCGGAAATAAAATCTAAAAGCAAAGTGCCCATTCCTTCATTCATATATCTTAGTAGATCTTTGTCGAATATACCATAGTTATCATCAACTTTGATCACACAACCATTAACAGTATTTTTAAGTCCATTTTCGTAAGGTGTTATTGTGTTATAACAAAACAAGATTAATTTTCTGAAATGTTTAATAAAAATTAAATTGATAATACGAAGATATAATTTCAAAAATAAAATTATTTGCAAACGATAATTAGTTTTCTCCCTCAAGTATACAGTACGTTACACTATTATACCATTAAAATAAACAATTTTGTACATAATATATGAAATATTTATCAAATAATAAAGATATTTGCTTTTAATAATAGCATCTGTAGCTTTTAAATATAAATTATGTATTAAATTGAGCTGCAGTCAAATTGAAAAATAAAGTGTCTATAATGGTAAAACGTGAGTTGTATAGTAAAAAGTTTAAAAATAATAAATATAATAATAGTCTCTTACCACCAAAAATAAGCAATAGTCATGTTCCATAAATCAACGTCTATAAATAATTAAATTTTATTAAAAAATAAAATATCATATAAATGAAAGTAATACTTTATATCCATAATTAATAAATAATTGTATTACCAATTGAATATTTTTTAAAATCAACGTCATGACACCCTGACATGCCAAATGGTTTTCAATTTCTTTTTTTATGAAAATTAATTAGGATAAATGTGTGTGTCACTTGTACGCTACGAGCAATCCAAGTGACTCATTGATTACATCTAATGTAAAGGATTAAGTAACTAAACAAATCGAGTACTAATGAAGTAAAATTTTTGATAGTTGATATCCAATTTTCTTTTTTCTCAGGTATGCTTATGATATAAATATTTCCATACTTCATATTACTTTTAGTACTTGGGTATATTTATTATTCATACGCGCCTTGTCGCATCTTCAATTTATTATTCTCTCTCCATCAAACAATCTAGTGTTGTTAAGAAAAAATGGGGCCTAAAGGGTTTGGAAAGTCGACGACTTTCAATTTTTTTTTTTTTCCATCGATATGAAATATAGCGATTATTGTATATTCATGGTAATGAACGCCGAATGTGACTTTGTCTTACGTCTTTTAATGGTTATAACGTACTAAAATAACTTTACACTTGATTTCTTTTATGTATTTACAGATTCATTTTATTTTGCTTTGACAAGAACATGATCATTAATGACAGTGTCATTGTCATCATTGTACAGTACATGGAATTGTTCGATACAAGTGTTTTAGAGCAAAATTGAGTTCCATACAAATAAATTACTATACTTCCATACAAATAGACTACAGTATTTTTTATCAACTCGCGAGTACGAATAAAAAAGCCAATTATTTATAAAAATAAGGTGATCTATTAGTTGTTTTTATATTCAAACATTGTTTGCATCAATTTCTATACCTGAAAATGGATTGAATAATGAAATGAATGATCGACAAAGCGTCCGCCGAAAGAAAGAAAACCATTTATAATGAAAATTTATAAATAGAGAAAGTTTTGTTAGATATTATTATCTCCCAGACTTTCGTTAGTCTCGAATGAATTTATAATTAGTTGTAATTCAATTTAGTTGTTAACTGGTCTTCCTAGCTGTTTATTAACTATATAATATATTTTGTTATAAATGAGTTTCCAACACTATTAAATTTAATAAGAAAATCAAAACCTTTAATGGATAGTGGAGTATTGAAATTAAAAATTTTGATACTACCATTATATATGTGTGTGTGTGTGTATGTGTGCGCGCGCGCGCGCGTGTATGTATATGGTATATAGTTAATAATATTTCACGGTATGTAATATATAAGTTTATTTAATGAAATCGTAAATATAAAGCAGTGATGAACATTTTAAAAATAAGGAAAGATTATTGTCTTATGTCTTATTATTTGTTTCTCTTAAATATATATTTAAGTTAATTTGCGGGGCTACCGAACTTTATACTGAATTCTTTTCTCGGAGGCTCATCAGAATATATATAAAAATCACAAACGATTTTTAAATCACAGTACGGCCAGAAATAAAATTACTACATATTTTATTGCTTTTACGCAGTGAGGTTTTTTTTTCTTTAAATCTTTAAATTAATATATATATTTGTTCTACGTCATGATCATGATATAATTTAATTTTTTATAATTCAATTAAATATTTATGTTCACGATGATCACAATTTATTTTTTATTTTATATATATATTGTTTTAATTTATACGCAACTGATTGAACATGTTTAATTATTTTCAAATATATTATTATATTTAAGATATTAAAATTCCATAATTTTTTAAGTCTATTTTAGAATTATACAACTTAAAAGAATAATAATGTTTAGATAATTAATCCACATATTTATTGTAAAAATTGTCGATTAAATCTTTCATTTATTTGTTTGAATTGATACGGTGACAAGATATTTATTAAATTAAGAGTTTTTATTATTACTTTAGAATTATTGGTAGATTTTTTATTTAATGTAAAATATCCTTGATAATTAAAATATAAATTTATAACGTCATTATCGACGTATGTTTTCATTTTATTTTATATAAATTTAAATATAATTAGAAAATTTGATATTATAATGAATTTTTCGAATTAGACTTAATAATATTCATTCTTACAAATTATAATAATTACCCAATTAAAATAAAAATTTCTCACACTTAATAACTAATTGGATGCTTCTCTATTGTCGATTTATAACTTCGAATTTTCCTTGTAAGTTTGTAAATTATAAAAAATATCAATTAAAATAACTACTTTTAATTTTAATTTAAAAATAAATTTTTACATCTTTAAATCTCAAATAATTTTGTTTTAATATCTTAAAAATAGTAATATGTGTGTTCATTTTAATACATTTTTCTTTTTGAATAATATTATAAAATACATAGAATCTTTAATGTTTAAAAATGTGAATTCTAATATATTTGTTCTTTTTTTTTCATAAAAAAATTAATATAAAAATTTTTAATTAGATTAATAAGCAACGATAAATCCTAAACTTCGAAAAATTCTAGAAAGATAAATAATAAATTAATAAACAATAAATACTTCATTATACATAAAATAGTCATAATACATACAACGATAAATAAATACTTCATTATACAAAAAATTTCTGTATTATCGAGTATAGAAATAATATAGTAATTATTAGTAATGTATCGATCATTCTATTTTTTAGATATTTTTTAGTCTATTTTGGTCCTAATTTAAAATTGTTAGTATTAATTTTTTAAATTTACAGAATTTGTAGTTACAAGTGCTCTATTCTCTTTATTCACTACTTTAAAGTAAATAAACAGATATATTAACTTACAATATGAAATTTTAATGATAATTAATACCGTGATTTTAAATTTTAATTCTCAAGTTTATATAATTAGCTAAACATTCCATACATTATTTTCATAAAAATGTATTAATACGCACTTTCAAATTGCAATTGATTTATTTATCATCAGAGATATTTGCAAAATCTTATTGACTCTTTTTGCAATTAGTAATTTATATTTGTTGAGGTCTGTTTGCAAACTTATTTACAGTCAATGCAGCGAACCTTCTTCCGTATTCTTATAGGTTTATTCTTCGGTTACCAGTTACTTATATTATACTTATATACTTATATACAAAGGGCAAACTGGAATTCGCCTTCACCATATCGTCAAGGTGGACAAGACAAGTATATCATTCTCGTCAAACTTAAACGGTTAACGAGTGACGCACTTTAAACACGACCAAGGAAGTGTTTTTCTGGCATCTCTCATTTTTAATGCTTTGTGGTCGCGACAGAATTTTTTGAATAAATAATATACTCAGTTTAATTTGAACGACCCGTATTAAAATATAAAAAAAAAATATATTATATTTGCCTTGATACGAAGGAATTTGTATATTCTAGATTACTCATAAAAAAGTAATATTATAGTTTATTTTCTTAGTTTAAAATTGTCTAAATGTAACCTAAGAAAATATGTTTATTTTAAAAATTATGAAATAATACAAGTGAAAGTTATCCCTAAACTTGAGAGAGAGAGAGAGAGAGAGAGAGAGAGAGAGAAATCATTAGTTATTAATTTAATAGCAGTTTATAAATGTTAAATTATATAAATGAAGAGTTTAATATGTTTTTACAATGTTTTGTATTCTTAAAGTTTATTTTATCTAATTTTGAAATGACAATCTTTAATGTATCCGTAATGTCATATATATATATATATAGATATATATATATATATATATATACTTGCCATCCTGGTGTTGAAATAAACATGTTTAATCAAAACAATAGCAATTTACTCGATTTTGTTGAATAAAGTATGAATTGTTATAGCATCTATTTCATTAATTACGCCAATTGCGCAGTGACTAGCGCATAATTAGCAAAGCTAAACATACATTTGTATTAGCATCAACGTTAATAATATCAATGCAGAAGAAAAGCAGTCATAGTTAATAATTGAATCACAACAAATTGAAAACAAAGGAGGCAAGAGGAAGAAAATCGTATTAGGAATTTCGCCTTCCGCGTGCAAACACGGAAACAGGGACAGCAGTAATTGCCTACACACG